TGTAGGAAGCCGATTTTTACGAGACGGCTGTGAAGATGCTGCTGCCAGAGCCGCGGGGCTTGCTTGATCCCGTATAGGGATTTTGTCAGTCGGCATATTTTCGTGGGGTCGTCGATGAATCCGTGGGGTTGTTCGACGAAGATCTCAGCGTCCACAGGTGCGTATAGGAACGCATTCGCGACATCGATTTGGCGTAGTGGTAGTGTTTTCGTGGCCGCGACGGCGAGTAGGATGCGTAATGAGGTGTGACGGGAGACTGGAGCGAAGGTTTCTGTGTAGTCGGTTCCGTATCGTTGATCGAAGCCTCGTACGACCCATCGAGCTTTGAATCGTTCGATGGAGCCGTCTGAGTTGGTCTTGATGCGGTACACCCATTTCCCTGAGAGAACGTTCTTCCCGTTGATGCTCGTTGCAGGTACCAGTTTCCATGTTTCTCGGTCTTGCAGAGCTTTTAACTCCTTTTCCATCGCTTCTTTCCATTTTGCCTTATGTTCCCCCCCCAGAGCCTGCGACAAGGTTGAAGGCTCACGCGTAGAAGGCGGCGGCGGATGCTGGACGGAGACCCAGAGGCCTAGAATCTGGAGTCCCGTGGGTGTGTGTCGAGGGGAATTGTCATTCCCCGAATAAGCTGCTTCGTCACCGTCTTCGGGGTCAGGTAAGAAATTGGGGCCGATGCGGTCCGAAATATTCGTGTCGACGGGGTGCGGTGTAGCGTAACCTTGGTCGGCGAAGTGGTAAAAGGTGTCGAGGTTGTTGCTATCGAGGGGATTATCTTCATCGAGTGGAACAGGTATGGAACAGAATGGGAGTGGCCCGGCAGCTTCCGAGGCTCCAGGTACGTCTTCTTCTGCTGCGTCAGCCTCGGCAGCATGGTCAGCGAAGGAGCGAAGGCCCGCGAAGCCGTCGGTGGGGTCGTCTGAGTTGGCAATGTTGTCCAGGTAATGCTGCAGCGTCAGTCGCTCGTAGAAGATAACATCACGTGATGCCACCGTATTTTTGTCTTGTATGTCGAGGATCTTCCACGCGTGAAAATGTTTGGCGATGCCGAGGTGTAGTCCCCACCGAGCTCGTTGAGTGAAGCGTCCTGCTCGAGCTGTGTGGGGTCTGTATTGTACCATGCAGCCGAAAACTCGAAGTAATTTTGTGCTGCCCCTTTTTCCCGTCCACAGCAGGTGTGGTGATGCGTTGTTGGGGAGCGATGACGAGGACAACAGGTTGTGCAGGTGGACTGCATGTGTCATCGCGTCTGGCCACAGTGCGTTGGGCAGCCTCATCCCCAGAAGCAGTTTTCGCATCATCGTCTGCAAGGTCCGGTTCATGCGTTCTGCTACCCCCTGCTGCTGGTGAGCATAGGGCAGAGACACCAGGCGTCGGATTCCCCTTTCCGCGAGATAGGTCCTGAAGCGTTGTGACTGGTATTCCAGTGCACCGTCTGACTGGAAACTCTTGAGTTTGGTTCCTGACTCTCGTTCGGCGATTGGAAGCCATGTGGTGAATGCCTCGAAGGCTTGATCGCGCGTTTTGAGATTGAAGTGCCAGACGTATCTGGTTGCGGCGTCGATGAACGTGATGACGTAGTTGAAGTCGGCTTCGGTGTCGTCTCGAGGCATGTTTAGAATATCGCTGTAGACCTTTTCCATCGGAGCGTAAGTGGGTGCGCTTGGATTGTGATGGGCTGGGAAAGGTTGATGAGGAAGATCTGCTTCGGGGCATGTGAAACACCGTGCGCGTGGTCGTCGGAGTTCCTGGCCGCTCGTCGTCAGAAGGGCGTTGCGTTCTAACACTTCTGCTTGGATTGTTTGAAGTATCGTGCTGTTTGCAGGATGTCCGAGACGTTGGTGCCAGATGTCGTCGGGAGCGCGGTGACCGGGCGAGCGGTGGTAGATGTCGGCGTTGGAGAAGAACGCGACGACCGAGGCGGGACTTCGACAAGCTTCTCGTGTGGCGGGCATAAGTTGGTCTGCTTCGGTTGGCTGTCCTCGTGTCGCTGGTGGTGGTACTCGGCTGGGTCCTGCTGCCGATACTGCAGGTGATGGTTTTGTTGGGACACATGCGGGTACTTGTCTTTCTTGTCTGATAACTGCTAATGCTCGTGTTCTTTCTGCTGCAGGTATGGTGTTGGAGTGCCAGAAGCCGTCGCTGTCGAAGTCGGGATCAAGATCTGGCGGATGAGTCCAGGCGGCGAAGGATACGATACCGTCGCTGTCGGCAGTTCCGCGGTCGGGGACGAAGTCCAACACGAAGACACCGGACTTCAGGAGGGCACGACCGATGAAGAGACCGCCCTTCCCGTGGTAAAGTCGGAACTCGTTGGAGAAGGAGTCGCACTCCAGGTGAATCCCCTTAGCCATTAGTTGGCTTACGCTTAATAGGTTGTATCCCAGATTGTCGACGATGAGGACCTTGTTGAGCTGAAGAATAACGTTTGTCTCCATTGATTGTAACTGAACCACGCCTTGTCTATTTGTTTTCAGGTTTTCGTTGTTGGCGACGGTGATGACGACGTCACGGTTGAGGCGTCGCTCGTGTTGTACGAAGCGTCCGGAGGAGCACATGTGCTGACCGCAGCAACTGTCCAAGAACCAGGTGTTCCGCCCGGTGGGTTCGGCGTTAGCGACTGCAGCGTATGTCGGGTTGACCTGAAGTCCTTGCGAGCGCGGCGGCGGGAATTCCTCTTCGTCTGGTGCGTAAGTGGGTGGTGAAGCGGGTGCGCAGTTGTCGATGTGTACCATGCAGTTGATGATGTTGGGTGTTTGTTGTGCAGATGTTGAAGAGCGCCTTGGAGGACTTGCTTGAGTGGAAGCGACTTGTGGGTCTGCTGCACGGTAAACGCGAGGGCGGTTGCAGTTGACCTTGGAGTGCCCGGAAGTCTGACAGTTGTGGCAGAACGGCGGCACGATGGTGAGTCCTCGGTTGTCACGTTGATCTTGCTTGCTGCGTCGGTTGTAGTTGTTGTCATTTCTTCTTTGAGTGTAGAAGACTAACTGCTGTTGCTTCCTTGGTTGTCTTTCCTCGAACAGATCCATCTCCTGTTGTTCAGCGTGAAGCTCGGCGCAGAGGTGCATCTCCGAAATTCTTCCGTGGGCTCGAAGAAGTGATCGTGTGGTTCTCCATTCTGGCCCGAGCCCGGCGAGGACAAGTGTCACGAAGCTTTCTTCAGTGATCGTTCCTCCGCACCGAAGCAGGCGGTCGCGGAGGGTCTGGCAGCGACTCATATACTGCATCGCCTTTTCCCCGGTCTTCATCTGTATTGTTGTCAGCTGTTGCATGAGTCTGCTTTGTGTCACGCTGTCGTTTGCTTGGTAAAGGCATTTGAGGTGGTGCCATGCGAGCTCCGCGGAGTTTCCATAACTCCGATACGTTCTGATGCTCTGCTGCTCTTGTGGTGACAGGTTTCTCAGGAGTACCGTGTACGCCAGCAGCGACTGATATGTGAAGATCTCTTGTTCCTTCCCAGTGCCGTTGCTTGGGAATGGCAGGGACCCGTTGAAGTATCCCAGAAGATGCGCGGCCTCCATCAGCAGCTCGAACTCGAAGCTCCAGGTAAAGAAGTCGTGTCCGTTGAACGGTGAGGATGTCTGAAGTTTGATCACGTGTGAGAACTGCGCCTGTAAACTTAAGATTTCATTCGGTGTTTGTTGTGATGCAGCTGCTGTTGGCTGGGCACGGGGCGGCATGAATTCGAACGTCCCCGGCGAAGAATGATAAGGCGCAAAGGTAGGCGCTTGATTGTGTCGCCCGAAGGATGAGTTGTCGAGGCTCATCGGCGCTAATCCCATATTCCCTCCATTGCTCTGTGTTGAGTGCGCAGGTGTCCTTGTCTGCTGCTGCTGATCGAAGTGTGACATGAAGCTGAAGAATCTCTCCATGAGATTCGGGTCCACACTTGAAGAGGGAGACGGGGTCACCATCTCTGGTACTCTTCCCGTTGTTTCTTGAGCAGTCCCGGTCTCTGTCTGCAGTCCTGAGGTGTGCAGACCAGAGTTGCCGTGTTGAGTTTCTTGGGCGCTGGGTGAGCCCGTAGAGACTTTCTTGCCCTTGTTGTCCATGTCTTGTAATCAATGAAGTCGTTGAATTGAGTTGAGTTGCAGGTTGTTGATAGGACGTAGTTGCTGGGAGTTTGGTCTCTGACCAGCTCTCATACCATGTTGGGCTGAGAAAAGCCCTTAGGATCTTTTGCAGAGACTAAGTCCCAGCTTGTAGAGACTTGAGACTTGGAGTAGTGCAGCGGAAGTTGAGACGGTTGAACCCTTGTACTAGTATGTGAGAACAAGTGATTGATTAAAGAAACAAGCATACAGCAATATATAGAAGGTAAGAAAGCAGTTGCAGAGTACAGTTACAGGAACGGTTTATCGAGTCGCATAGCGACTCGATTGCCGCTTCGGTTACCATCCGTGATGCTGTAACGGTCAGTCGCAACCTCCAGTTGCGACCCTTTGAGTCCCAGACCCTTCGTGTTCTTTGTCCGCCCCCTCGTGTAACCTCCGTTGACTCGCGTACCCCTTGCAATCTTCCTCGAGTGTAGTGTTACACTTCAGAAACGCTTAAGTCTTTTGATGTACTTTCAACAAGCGGTACGGTGTACAGTTTGGTCTAGTTCCTGTAGCTTTTCACTTGCTAGGTCCCTGACTGTGTACTTTTTCTTTTAATTGTGAAAACTTGCTTAGGTCCTCTTGAAAGGCAGCATACTTCATTTCATATGGGCTGGACAAATGGTGCCGCCCTAAGTTACTCTTGTTCCAATGGTCTCTTGCTGATTGGTCTCCAGACCCTCGACTTTGAGGTTAGACCAGTAGTGCCGCCCTGAGTTGCTTGTCTCTCGCTAGGCACTGCCCCTTGTCTAGCCTAGGGGTGTGTCGTGTCGTCTTACACATACTGTATATGTAGAAGTTATAGGCTAGAATGGTACGTGCTCTTAGTGAGTACAACACCCCACCTTATATTCCCCTTGTATTCCTTGTTTCTATTCAACACTTTACTATGAGATCTACCCACCAGTAACAATTTCGACTTTGTTAAATTGTTATCATTTCGCCTTAGACATTTGAGCAGTGTTATCAGCGTCCTAATGATGTATTTACAAGTCATCTAGCCATGCCAAGACTTCTTGAGCTAGCTTTCGGATGTCCAACAAAGCATTTGACTTGACTCCCTGGGCAATAGCATCCACTGGCGAGTACGCACCTTGAACAGTCCACGAGACGTCCTGCACACACAAGGGAAAACCGTACAAACAATATATGTACAGGTATTATTATTCCAGAAGGTGTGGGCCGGAGTAATAAAGAGGATAGTGAGGATAGTCGCCATTGACCCACCACCCTAGTTGCTGCTTTGCAGGCACATCTACCACAGGTTAATTGACACCATATCAAATCGTAATGTCCATACCGGAGCCAATGGAGTGGCGTGAGTTCCCTCCAGAAGAAGAGTTGAGATGGAGCCGCCAATCTCCTCCATGCGCCCCGTGAGAATCGGCTCCAGCTGATCCGTCTCGTCTAGAGTGTCCACTGAGAATTTAATCTGAGAGCAACGGTGGGGTGCGTTTTCACAAACATGATGAGGGAATAGGGAAAGAGTTGTACCGGCTCCAGTTGATCCGTCTCATCCAATGAGTCCACTGAGAAATCTATATGAGAGAAGGGAGGGGCAGATGAAAGGGGGTTATTTCTGCGAGGGGGGGTTCAGCTGAGCTGCCTCAAAGGATCTCCTCAAGCAGCAGTGGAAACTGCACCGTTGATTTCCCCCACGCGGCCTTTGAGGGTTCGCTCCAGCCAGCCAGTCTCGTCTAGAGTGTCCCCTGAGAACTTTATCCGAGAGGAGGGACAGATGGATAGGAGGCGAAGATACAAAGGGGAGAGGATTTGGTAACGCCTTCATGTGTTGAATTGGTTTTTGAGAATTCTCAAAAACCAACTTAAGGAGGAATAGCCTCAGGCTGTGCAGTCCGGCCTCTATAGAATAGAGAAGAGGATGGAAGGAAGGGAGCTATCTGTGTGGAGATTTTGAGATGCCTCATAGACAAGCAATTTGTATGTCCTAAGACGTCTCAAAACGTAGCTCCTGATATACAGAAGCTGTAGGGGACGCACAGAAGAAGCGAAGAGCTTAGATCTGGCCCCAGAAAAATTCCAACTCGTTTGAGTGTGTAACTTGGAAGCGAGAGAGTTAGAAAGAGGGGGAAAGGTGAAAGGGGGAGAGGAAGAGAGTGCGTACCAGAAGATTCCGGGAAACAGCATAGGAGGCGGCGATGAGCTTTCTGGTCTCAGCAGGAGGTGGCGTGAACTCAGACACTCCGTCCCGCACCTGGAGACAGCGGCACCGAGACATGCACCGAGAAAGGGAAGGGGTGTGAGAGAACCGGAAAGGGCGGGCAGGAGGCTCTCAGCTGGTGGTGGCGTGAATGCAGACACGCCGTCACGAACCTGTAGAGATCAATAAGAAACGGTGTGGGACAAGGGAGGTATGTAAGAGAAATGAAGAGTGAAAGAGAAAAAAAGGGTGGAAGAGAAGAAAAGGGTGGAGGTTGGAGCGTGGGTCGGACTAGCAGTTGTGCGTGGGAGATTGTGCGCGTGCGACACGAACGGTGAGTGTGGGAGACGATTAGTGCGTGTCGACATGCGGAACCTGCGCAGGGAAGCACAGATTCGCCATGGCAACCGCACCTGTCCAAGAACGGGAGGAATCTGCTCCAGGAACCGGGAAAGCGGCTCAAGGTCGTTCCTCACAACACCGGGAGGCAGAGGAATGCTACTGCGCTGGAGGGTTTCCAGGGCTTGCTCTGCAAGGGTTGTCAAGGCAACAGGTTTTGGGATCACACAAGAGCAGGTTAGCGAACTTAGGGGAAAAACTGCTGCACTGGGTGCTTGCTCTGCAACGGTTATAGAAGCAAGAGTTTAGAATCACACGGACTCGGATTAATAAACTCGGGGAGGAGATGGCAGGACAGGAACTGTGTGAATGGGCACGGGCAGCACACGGGTGTGGCTGTGATGCAGTAGGGGTGTGGGGGACGGAGGGAGGCAACAGAATGCTAATTCGTTCGTGATTGGATGACCAGATGTTTTCGTAGCAAGTGCTTTCAAGTGAGGGAAGGAAGCATGTAATAGAGACGTAAGAGTCTTTGACTAGGGGCGTGAAATCGTATGACTTTGAGAGCGCCCGCTATGCGGACAGCTTACCTGCAACACTGAGAGCAATGCGGACAGACAGCTTACCTGCAACACTGAGAGCAATGCCGGTGAGGGGAAACGCCTCGATGGCTGGAGCAAGCTGAACCACTGCTGGGCCCACCTGGTGGGAGTGGGACGTCGGTAGTGAGTGAGTAGTACGGATGGAGGAAGCGGACCACGAGCAGAGCGAAGGGGAAATTGACAGGGAGGGGGTAGCTAGTGTGGGAATGACGAACAGCAAGGCTGAACCACCGCCGAGCCCATCAGGTGGGGGCGACGCGGAGAAGGTAGAGCCAGTGGGGGTGAGGGCCAGGGAAGGTAGAGACGACGGGGTGAGGGGCGGGAGGGTATGCAATGAGTAGGTAGGAATGGCAAACCATTGGCGGGAGCACTGGTGGGGGTGAGACGAGGGGAAGGAGATGCAGGCGAGGCGTGAGAGCCGGGTGGGTTGAGGCACAGGCATGGGCATACAAGCTAGCACGCACCACACAGACAGGCGGTCAAGGAGAAACATCACTTGAGGCTTCAGACCAAAACATCGACTTTCCCACCCACAACATCGACCAGAACATCGACCGGATCAAATTGCGCCACAGCAAAGGATGCTGGGCGGCTTTTGAGACGCCTCAAAAGCAAAGGATGCTGGGCGGTTGGGGTGGGCAAGTTGATGTGCTGCTCTGACGCCGCACAGCAAGTTGATGTGCTGCTCTGACGCCGCACAGCAAGTTGATGTGCTGCTGTAAAGCCGCACAGCAAAGCACACCCAACCCATCCCCGGTCCACTTGTCAGCCCATCTGAGTGATACAGGCATCGTAAAGGACGCTGGGGGTTTGCTCGAGAGCGCGTCCAACCAACCCACCCCCCACCCACATGTCAGCCCACCTGTTCGAAGTACGGCACAGCAAAGGACGCTGGGCGGTTGTTGAACGCTATGATCACGCTGGCCTGGGGGCAGAGAGAGGGCGGGAGGAGGGAGCAAGAGTGTGGGGGAGAGGAGAGGGGGGGGGGGGAGAGGAAGGAAACGGACATTTGAACGACGCAAAGGATGCTGGGCGGTTGTTGAACCCTATGATCACGCTGGCCTGGACCGCAGAGGTAAGCGATATCAGCAATCGCGATGCGAGGCATGCAGCAAATGTTTCTTAGAACTTCCGTGCAAGCGTTAAGGGAGCAAGTAGTTCAGGGGCCTTTGAAAACATGCTGGGTTGATCACGCTGGCTGGTGGGCAGAAAGGAAGCAGGAGGGTAGAGGTCTTCAGAATCATAAAACACTCTGCATTGTTGCTGAAATGTGTGATTGATTTGGCCTATGTGCAAAGAGAGGACAGGAGGAGCGCACTGCCACCCAGCACCAGCAGCAGAGGTAGTCTCCAGAGGACTGTTGCCACGGACCTCTGGCAGTCTGTCTCTGCTGGTGGTGGAGAGACTGCCCATCAGCAGCTGCATGAGCGCGCCGTTGCTGGGAGGAAGGGAGGGAAGGGTGCAGTACGGAGGGGAAATGAAGGAACAACGGAGGAGAGTGATGGACACAGCGAGCAGGGGACGAATAGAAAGGTGCCCCTAAGCAAATGGATGAGTGCACCGTTGCTGGGAGGAAGGGAGGGTAGGGTGCAGAAGGGAGGGCGAGCGACAGAGGAGGATGATGAGCATGACAAGTGCAGGGACGTGGAGCGACTGCCCATAAGCAGCTGCATGCGTGCACCGCCACCACTGGGTGAGGAAAGGAAGAAATGGAATAGGGGACAGGTTAAAGAAGAGAGCGGTGAGAGTGATGAGCATGGTCAATGCAGGGAAGTGGAGCGATTGCCGATCAGCAGCTGCATTGGAGCACCATATTACATTGGTCTTGTAAGTTATAACCATATTACGCTGATCATATAACCATATTACGCTGATCTTATAGCCATATTACGCTGATCTCTTAACCATATTACACTGATCTTATAACCATGTTACACTGATGATCTTATGACCATATTACGCTGATCTTATAACCACGTTATGCTGATCTTATAACCATAGTACACTGATCTTATATCCATACTGAGCTGAACTTATAACCATATTACACTGTTCTTATAACCATATTACGCTGATCTTATAACCAAACTACACTGATCTTATAACCATTTTACACTAGCTTTATAACCACACTTCGCTGATCTTACAACCCCATGATGCTGGCCTGATGACCTGACCTTATAACCATACTACGCTGACTGTATAACTATACTAAGCTGACCTTATAAACGTACTACACTGCCTGTATAACTATAATAAGCTGGCCTTATCACATACTACGCTGACCTTATAACCATAATAACGCTGACCTTACCTGTGTCCCACGCTGTAGACTGGTAGGCCCTCCACGTCAGCAGCAGAGATTCCTGCTGAGGACAGCCCGTACAGCTGGAGCAGGTCGAGTGCTGACGTGGCACGGGCGTGCAGGTTGGCAGCTGCTGCCACGTGGTCGAATGTGATTGGATTAGGCACAGCCACGACCAGGTACCCGCCCTTAGAAAGAAGGTCTAGGAAGTAGCTGAGAGGGTCAGAAGAAACAAGGGAAAGGAGAAGGAAGGAGAAGGAAGGAGGCCGAAGGAGACGGAAGGAGACGGAAGGAGACGGAAGGAGACGGAAGGAGAAACGAGGAGGAAGGAGAAAGGAAGGAGAGATCAGAAGAAGTGGTGCTGAGAATGGCAGCGAGTGACAGCGTCTATACGAGGAGTTACTATGGCCCTGTCCTGCACACTTCAACTTGTTTTGAAGCGCCTCAGACTCAGAGTGGAGAGGGAGTGAGGAGGAAACGACTGGCAGCGGGAGGAGGCAAGAAGGGAGAGAGTGAGCTTGCCTGTAGAACACGTCTGGAGACGCGCCTAGGAAAGCGCCTCCGAAAAAGGTGATGACGCCTTTAAGGGGCTGGCGGCGCGGTCTGGCAGGAGGGGCGCACGCGAAGCACTCGCCTAGCTGGTGCAATTCCGGCCGTGCGATGGGGAGCAGGCTGAAATATGGATCGTCGATTTGCTGGGAGAAGAGCGCTGCTGAAAACCGAGACAAGAGAGGGGAACGAAGGGGCGTGAAGGCGAGCGACCGATTTAGATGTGAAGGCTGAAACACCAGAATTGGTGCCGATTTCGCGCCTCAAAACCACGAAATGCTGGACACGGGCCAGAGGGGATCGCAGGAAACCAGCGGCAGTACAACCGTACCGAGAATAGCACGAAGCAGCGGCACGACACGACACGACCGTGCCGAAAATAGCACAGCACGACACGGTACGATGCCACGAACCGGTTGGTGAGGTCGGCGAGACTTTTTGAGAAGCTTCGGAAATTGTCAAGGACGAGTTTCTCCGGCGTCCGAGGGGATGTTTGCCCGCTGAGAGCTGATGCCAGAGCGTTCTGGATGATGTGATTCCGACGCATGGTGACAATAGCGGGGGTTGACTGAAGGCTCTGATCGGTGCGGGGGAATGAACATGCGGTGCTGCTGACGAGCTAGACATTGGGGATTGCGATGGCGAGAGTAGATTTCGACAGGGAACGAGAATCCCGCCGTGTGCGATGTCAACGGCCATGATTGTCAATCACGCGATGCAGAAGATGGTAAGATGGATCGCACTGACTGAAACAAAATTCCGTTCCACGACGAAAGGGATCGCATTAGTGGACCTCCTCTGCACGGCTAGCTCGTCAACAGCTTCATGTGCTGCGAAGGACAGCGCTGTCTGCTGGGGCTGGAGGAAAGACACGAATTAGATCAGCAGTAGGGAAATTGACAATGCTGCGATCACCCTTCCTCTTTGCGCTTTTTGCGAACGAAATTGGTGGTGGCGATCATGCCACGTTGACGAGGTGAGCCTTGGCGAACTTTTGCCGAAAAGCTCCTCGAAATTACGTGGCCCCTTTGACCACCAGGTTCTTCCCCAGAAGAGTGGCAGCTGCTGGCTGGTTACAGAAATCGAAGGTGCCCCCTACCCAGCGTTTTGATGCACGTTGGCGACACCTGCTATAGCCTTCGCCTCAATCTGTCGGGAACCTGGCGACATTTGTTAGCGAAGAAGCGAAACTTGCGTCCCACGTTTTCGCTGTCGAGCTGGTGACAAACAGCAACTGTTGCTAACCTTCGCAGGGGCCAGCTCTCCTCTCCCCACGCAGCCAGTAAGGGCGAGCTCCTTTCAGAAACACTGGCCGGTTTTCGGATAGTAACGATAGTAATATTTGAGCTCTTTTTTCTGGAATTGATGATACGCTCCTTGTCCCTTTTCAAGAACCTGGGCACGTGTTCAGTAGAGCGTGCACAGCGGCTACCGATCATGAAAGCGGGGACAGAATTCGGAACTTTGGGCAAGGTCTGGATGAAATGTATTAGGAATCAGACTCGAAAACTCGTTTGGGAGCGCGCCCTGAACCTGAGGGAATTGCCTCGTTTCTTCGTTTGATGTAACAGCTCGTCAGCGACAAGCGAACGAAAGCTTGCGATGAATCTTTGCTCCAATCCCACGGCAAGCAGCAGTCAAATAAAGCGGGGGGGAAATCTCTTGTCATCCTCACATGCATGAGCTTCGGCCTTCCTCTATCGTGCATTGCACATTCGCTTTCACATCCGCCCCGCACCAATTGCGTCGAAACCTTCATGTCACTCCTGCATTCCGTCTCTCGGGCCGCCATTCCCATTTCCGTTGCTAGACGCGTGTTTTGCGTGACCCTCACCACTGAAAGAGCTTTCTGGACTTCCGCTGCCGAAAGTCCACAGCCTCGAACAGCAAGGACCGCTGTGATACGATCGCCGGCTTTTCTGGGTATTTCATCGTCTGCGCAGGGCGCTCACGTGGGTGCAAGCAGGCATCGCTCGGATTCGTTCAAGAAGAGCCTTAAAGGCTGCGCATTTAACGGCGTCTCGAGCTCTGCGTTGCTAAGGAGGAGCGCGGGTTTTCGCACAGAACGAGCGACCCAGCTGACACGTGGCGTAACGATAATGGCGACGGCGGGCGGAGAGAGCTCCAGTGGCAGCGCGGCGGCAAGTGCGGTGGGGGCGGACGAGGGAGTGGGAGAGATTCTCGCGTACTGGTTCGGGGAATTCATGCGACCGGGATACGATGTAAGTGGCTTAACGAAGACTTTTGAGTCGACTCAATAGTCATGCGGTGGGGGTTGACGAGGGAGTGGGAGAGATTCTCGCGTATTGGTTTGGGGAATTCATGCGACCGGGATACGATGTAAGTGGGCAATGTTGGCGAGCGAGGGGAGGTGAGGAATGTGGGTTGGCGTCGTGTTGATTTGCACGATGAGGATTTGAGTTGACAATTGCACGTGCAATGCCGTGGGCTGTGCACTATGCTCCTGTACTTTCTGTGCCATCTTTGCCTTGCCATGCATTCCCTTCCTTCACCTAACAAGGGCCCAGCGGTGATTTTGTGAATCTTTTCACGAACTGTATTACTTTACCTTCACAATGTTCCCACATTCCCCCTCCGTTTGCCTCACAGGGCCCAGCTCCGACACCGTCTGACGAGCTAGCCAAGGCCCCAGTTTGGTTCCGCAAGGATGCTGACGTGGACGCTACCATCCGCACGCGATTCGCTCCGCTCATCCCGCTCGCTGCGTCGGGCCAGCTGGCGGGCTGGGAGGACACGCCACATGGCGCTCTTGCGTTGGTCGTGCTGCTTGATCAGTTCACGAGGAACAGCTTCAGGGGCTCGCCAGAAGCTTTTGCGCAGGTATGCAAGCCCTTAATGATCTGTTACAACAGTATTCAATCAGCTTGCTCTCTGGCCAGTAACCAAGGTACAGCTTCTGTGCTTTTTAACAGGTATGCCTTCACCTGGTGATTTATTACAGCGATTTTCAACCAGCACAGGCACTTGTTGTTTAGCCTTTTTTTTCTCTTTCCTGGTGCTATGCCCTCACTCTGTTTTGTTCCCTGTTGTTTCGCACTCGCTTGCTTTGAAATTTTCAGGACAAGCTTGCTGTGGAGGTTGCAAAGCGGTGAGTTCGCCCACCTTCACTGTTGTTTTCTGCTTGTGTTTTCCATCTTCTGCATGCTCTTCCTCTCTTCCTTTGATTGCTCAAGAAGCAGGAACTCTCGCAGATGTGCATCGATGTGAACCGAACACACAGACCCATGCACTCTTTTGTACTGCTGCGATTTCTGTGATGGCATGATGGGTACACAGGGCCATTGCAAAGGGTTTTGACCGTCAGGTGCCGCCAGTAGCTCGGCCGTTCTTCTACCTACCTTTCGAGCATGCTGAAGGTACAATGCATAGTACACTCCGTTGCAAGGGACAGAGCATCCAACACACTCTGTTTCCGTGTATGCATGCTCGTTACAGGCACAATTGCCTTTGAATTCCTGGGTGGTTTGCTCAGCTTTGCTAATCTGCTGTGACCCAACCCCCCAAAAAATTATTGTTTCTGACCCCAGCAACCACTTTCGAGGGCCTGCCTAGCTTGTCAACCAACCAAGTGGTGTACCCTTGAGAAACTCGGGTCCCTGGTTTTTACCTGGTCTCTCTTGCTCTTTCTTTGCCTTGTACTCTGGTTCCCTGCATCGTTCTTTCCAGATTTGGCTTCTCAAGATCGTTGCATCGAGTTGATGACTCAAATGGTTGAAGAGGCACCTGAGGGGCCCGTAAAGAAGTTCTTTAACGGAGGTCTGGACTATGCGCATGTGCACCGGGATGTTATCATCAAATTTGGTCGGTATCCACACCGAAATGAAGCACTTGGGCGGGAGAGCACGCCTGCAGAAGTTGAGTTCATGAAGACGCATGCTGGTTTCTAGGTGAAATTATTGTTCAGTGGCTATAACTGTTGGATGGATGTTGCATAAATTATCCTTGGTATAGTTATCCATGTTGTATTATGTGGTTTTCTGAGAGGGAATCTATAGCCTTCTAACAAAAACCTACATTGCCGTCTACAGAAACTTATACAGTATTACCATGGTAAAAGCTAGGAATTCCCAGGAGCGACAGAACCATGCAGACCACTCACCTGAACCAAGCAGCCAAATTTCACACGAGCAACAGAAGCAGAAGCGATATCAGTTTCCTTGAGAACCGAACCGCCGTCAGTTGTCCTCACCGAATCTTGCAGATGGCTGGGATGCGGGCAGACGAGGAGCTGGGATCGTTATCGTGGCAAGTTCATCTGAGCAAATTCGTTCCAACGCAGACGGCTTTCCTGCAAGCAGCCGTCGGGAAGTTCTCTGGCCTGAAGGGTAGACCGACGCGAGGACACTGGTTGAAAAGCAGAGACCTTGTGACAGTAACGCTCGTCAAACGCGCTGATCCCAAGCTTTCGACCATTTCCTTGATCTGTGGAGTCACTTACGTGAGAATTGTCAAAGGGCTTTCGTCGTCGGTTGTGAAAGATAGGGAAAGTTCACACTTGTTCCGATTTTTCAGGAGCATCATTACGTGTTAAGGGTGCATTTCTTCCAGCCGCTTTGTCGACCACAAGCTTCTGCGGAAGCTATTCTTTCAAGAAATGTTTTAGCGTGCTATACCACAGCAGATTCACCGGCACAGGTATGTTACAGATACTGGTATGCGAGATAAATACAGAAGGAAAGGGCTGACATTTTTTGTCCTCAGGTACAGAAGTTTATTATGAGATTTGAGACTGCCGCTGCTGCTCAGTCCTTCTCCGCCGCCATTCAGGTTCGTGTTTTTCTCATCAAACCCATGGTGTCTGGTAGAAGAAGTGCAACCATCACAATGTTCGTCATTACAGGGGTTGATGAACGAAGAGAAGGAAGGGAAGCTGCATAGCTGTGTGTCCCAGCCTAGCCAACCTCGAATTGCAGGTCTGAAATTTCTCATTTGAAGACCTTCTTGATCCTGCCAAACCCAACTTTTCCTCGCTAACTCCCGTCCGTTTCTCATTTCAGATGACGAGGCACCTTCACTTTCGACTCAACTTCAGGTAGGCTGAGGAGCATTAGAACTATGTTTGCTTTTGTAACATCGCCAAAATAATCATCTGGCCACTGCAGGCGTGCCTTCTGGATCCATCATTTCAAGGCAAGAACGAATCCTTTGTGTCCTCTACTTACTTGCTCTTGTGCAGGCCCAGTTTGTGTAGCTCTTAGTTTGTTTGTTTTGCTCAGTATTTCAAAGCTTCCTTGCCTCTAATCCTGTTTGAACGTCCAGATTTTGTCCAGCAAGTGGAGAGTGTCTGGAACCAGCTTCAAGAACACTTGGCGCCTGAGTTGGCAATTGAAGGCCTTCTTGAGGGAGCATCACAGCAGCAATAAGAAGCACCAGAGCTCGACCGGCTTCACAGGCTTTGCAGGTTCTTGAAACACCACCTGATCTGACGGTGTTCATCCCGCCCAGCCCAACCTAGGATCCTAGTTCATGAAGTTGCGCTGTTTTTTCTAGCAGCTGTGAGATATGTTCTAGATCTGTGCGCAGGATGTTTACAGAATATCGCGTTCAAGTAGACAATGTCAACTTATACATATTATCTATGTAGAAGTTATAGGCTAGACTGAGGTATGCTTCTAGTGAGTACAACCAACTAGTATTTGTTCTAGGTTTCCACCTCTAGTAATCATTCGTTTCTACGTTAACATGGTATCACGCTTAGGTTAGGATCCCCCCGCCTACCGCTTCCGCCCGTCGCGCCTCCTAGGCCCCGTCGCGCCCCCTAGGCCCCGTCGCGCCCCCCCTGGGCCCCGTCGCGCTCGTTAGGCCCCGTCGCGCCCCCCCTGGGCCCCGTCGTGCCCGCTGGGCCCCGTCGCGCCTCCTAGGCCCCGTCGCGCTCCCCCTAGGCCCGGTCGCGCCCGCTGGGTCCCGTCGCGACCCCTAGGCCCTAACGCGCCCCCGCTGGGCCCCGTTGCGCCTCCTAGGCCCCGTCGCGCCCCCCATGGGCCCCGTCGAGCCCGCTGAGCCCCGTCGTGCCTCCTAGGCATCGTCGCGCCTCCTAAGCCCCGTCGCGTCCCCCCCCTCTGGGCCCCGTCGCGCCCGTTCGGCCCCGTCGCGCCCCTCCTAGGCCCCGTCGCGCCCGCTGGGCCCCTTCGCGCTTCCTAGGCCCCGTCGCGCCTGCTAGGCCCCGTCGCGCCCCCCCTGGGCCCCGTCGCGCCCGTTAGGCCCCGTCGCGGCCCCCCTGGGCCCCGTCGTGCCCGCTGGTCCCCGTCGCGCCTCCTCGGCCCCGTCGCGCCCCCCCTGGGCCCCGTCGTGCCCGCTGGGCCCCGTCGCGCCCCTTAGGCCCCGTCGCGCCCGCTGGCCCCTGTCGCGCCTGCTGTTAGCGCTCGCCCGCCTGGCCTCCTCCTAGTGCCGCTCGGCCTCCTCCTAGTGCCGCCCGGCCTCCTCCTAGTGCCGCCCGGCCCCTTCCTAGCGCCGCCCGGCCTCTCCTCAGCGCTGCCCGGCCCCTCCTCGTGCCCGACCGGCCCCCGCAGCACCAGCCTGGCCCCTCCCAGCACCAGCCCGGCCCCAGAGCACCTGCCCGCCTCCCCTGCTCGGCCTGTCGTGTCCTCTCGGGCCCTGTGTCTTCTGCTTGCCTGCGCTGGGACGCCTAGCTGCTGCCCTACTGGAGAGTGCTGCCGCCGTGTCCCCGCGCCGCTGTGCTCCTGTGCCGCTGAGGAGCTGTGCTGCTGTGCCGCTGTGTCGCTGAGGAGCTGTGCCGCTGACCCTGCACGATGGCTGACTTTGTGCTCCGCCTGGACGCTGAGGGCCACGCGGTTGACTTCGCCGCCTGGCTCTCCGATCTTCGCCGCCAGCTTACAGGTCAGCGCCAGGATGGCCACTCTCTGGTTGTCCATGCTGATGGCTTGCTCCCCCGTCCCCCTGCACCTACTCCCCTCCCTGCTGACCCCTCCTCTGATGACCGTGAGGCTTTCTCTACTGCTGCGCTGGCCTGTGCGATCTGGGACTCACGCGATGCAGTAGCTCAGGTTGCTATTAGTCACGCCCTCCCTGTGTCTGAGCGCTCGCGTTTTGCTACTGTTGAAACGGCCAAAGCTTATTTAGACGCCGTTATTGCTCGCTATTCCACCCCTGCCTCCGCTTCTGCTGGCCGCTTGCTCTTTCCGATGCTGTTCCCAGACCTGGCTGCCTTCCCTACTGTCGCAGATTTTGCCACTCATTTGCGTGCCCTAGAGACTCGCTATCGCACTGCCAGCACTGCTGCCCAGCTCACTGCGCTCCCCCCTCCTTTCTGCATGACGCTCTATTTTATCGCTATGCGCCTGCCAGACCGCCTCGCTAGTGCTCGCGACCACTTTCTTAGCCAGCACCCGGGTGACCTCACCCTGACCGCCTTTGTCGACACCCTCACTGAGATCGAGACTCGCCAGCGCACTATCGCTCAGTCGAGCGGTGCGCCGCCAGTCTCTATCTTTCACGGCTGTGCCCCATCCCCGTGCACGTTCACTGACGTTTCGGCTGCGGTCGCCACGGCGACCCCTCTTACCGAGACGGCTGCTGCTGTCGACCCGCAGCAGCGCTCGCGTCGCGGTGGCCGTGGCCGCCAGGGAGGTAGGGGTGGTGACGCAGGTGGTAGTGATCGTGGTGGTGGTGACGGTAGTCCGCCTGAGGGGACTACCACCGGTGGGCAGGAGCAGCAGTCCCAGCAGCAGCAGGACCAGCCCCAGCCGCAGCCGCCGTCCCAGCAGCACCCGCCGCAGCCGTGGGCTCGTCTCCCGCCTGGTTGGCCCGGCACCTCCGGAGGCGGTGGCCGTGGTGGCGGCCCGCGCAGCTTGGCGTCTACCAGCGGCTCCAGTGCTGTGACCTGCCAGTACCAGCTTCAGACCGGGCCTCTCCGCGGCACTCTGTGCCGCCGCCCGCACCCGACCGCCCGCTGTTTCCGCCGCCTCGACGATCTTTTTCGTCGTCGCTTTGGCCCGGCCCCGGACCTCCCTGACTGGCACAGCCTGCTCCGCCAGGGCGTGCCGATCTTTGAGTTAGACATGGATCAGATAGGTGCTGCTTTGCATGCTTTGTATGCTGACGCTTCTAGTGTTGATGGATCTTACTACCCTGTGTACTCTAGTTTAGGTGTTTCACCCTTGTATAGCTTAGCTTCCCCTGCTGCGACAGGCGTAGGACTGCCTAGGTTGCCTAGTCTCGTCGCTGCACCGGCTCCGTCCCCGGCCCCCGCCACTGCGTCGCTGTCCTTCACTCTCGACTCTGGTGCTTCTGCCTGCTTCTTCCGCGACCGTTCCACGCTCACGCCGCTTGCTGCACCTGCTGTTGTCTCTCTCGCTGACCCCTCTGCGGGTCCGGTCGTCGCGCGCAGTTCTACGTCCCTTCCCTGTCCGGCAGTTCCCTCGGGCTCCCTTACTGGCCTCCACGTTCCCTCGTTCTCCAGGAACCTGGTTGGTGTCGGCTGTCTCCAGGACCTCGGCGTCACCACCACGTTCCCCGGGCACGAGCGGTTCGCTGTCTGTTCTGAGGCTGTCTCAGGTTCCCCCCTTGCGACGTTCCCCCGGGACCCGGTGTCCGGTCTGTTTACCCTACACACCGCTTCCCCCCCGGTTGGTGCGTCCTCCCAGGTCGCTGCAGCTTGCTCGTGTCGGTCCCTCACTCACCCCTCCCTTCTCTGGCACCACCGCTTAGGTCACCCTGCTCTCCCGCGTCTGCGTCACATGTCCCAGCACGGTCTTGTCTTAGGTCTCCCCGCGTCGCTCCCTGCCCTTCCTCCCTCGACTGCGCCACCGTGCACGCCTTGCGTCGAGGGTCGGCTCCGCCGTGCTCCTCACTCCTCCTCGCTGCGTCCTGCTACTGCCCCCCTTCAGACCCTGCACTTGGACGTTTGGGGCCCTGCCCCCGTCCCCGGACCGCGCGGTGAGCGCTACTTCCTTGTGCTTGTCGACGACTACACGCGCTACACCACGGTGTTTCCCCTGGAGCGGAAGGCCGACGTGCCCGACGTTCTTCTCCCGTGGGTTGTGGCTGCGCGTCTCCACCGCGGTCTCCCCGTGTTGTGTCTCCACTCCGACCGTGGCGGCGAGTTCGCCTCTGGTCGGCTTGGACAGTTCTGTCGTGCGGAGGGCATCACCCAGTCGTACACGTTGCCGGACTCGCCACAACAGAATGGGGTTGCTGAGCGCCGCATCGGCTTGGTCATGGAGGTCGCCCGTACCTCCATGATCCATGCCGATGCCCCCCATTTTCTGTGGCCGTTCGCTGTTCGCTACGCGGCTCACCAGCTTAACCTGTGGCCACGCTCCCAGCGGCCGCAGGTTTCGCCGACCCTCCTTTGGACCGGGTCCCCCGGTGACGCGTCTGCGTTCCACGTCTGGGGCTGCCTTGCTCACGTTCGTGCCTCTGGCACGGACAAGCTCACTGCCCGCACTGTCCCCTGTGTCTTCCTCGGTTTCCCCCTGGACTCGTCTGACTGGCTTTTCTACCACCCGCCGTCTCACCGCTTCCTCCACTCTCGTGACGTCACCTTTGATGAGTCCGTCTCCTTCTACCGCCGCTTCCCTCACCGAGGTCTCCCAGTTGCCCCCCCCCCTTTCCTTGCTCCCTCTCCCCCGGTAGCCCCTGCCCCTCTCCCGCCTCGTCCTGCCCCGTCTGGTGTCTCCCACGTCACTCCCCTCCCGTCGGTTGTCCCCGTTGAGGAGTCTGCTGACTCTGGTGGTACCCCCGGTCCGTCCTTGCCGCGTCCCCCTTCCCCGGTGCCTCCGCCCCCACTGTCGCAGTCGCCGACCCCGCTGCCGCCGCCGTCGCCGTCGCCGCCGCAGCCGTCGCCGCTGTCGTCGCCGCCGCCGCCGCTGTCGCTGCCGCAGCCGTCGCCGCTGTCGCCGCCGCCGCAGCCGTTGCCGCCACTGCCGCCGCTGCTCTCGGCCCCTGGGGGTGCTGGTGTGGAGGAGGGTGTTCGTCCTGCGGCTTCTGGGGGTGCCGCTGGTGTTGGAGGGGGTTCTCGCTCTGGGGGTGTTGGTTCTGGGGGTGCTGCTGTTGAGTGTTCTGCCGACGGTCGTTCTGCCTCTGCTGGTCCGAGAGTTCCGGCCCAGCCGTCGTCGCCGCCGCAGCAGCCGTCGCCGCCGGTTTCCGCTCTCCGCCTGCTCGGCCTTCCCTCCCCGGACCGCGCGCCGGTGTCTCCCCCACCGCCTCCTGACCTCCCTGTCTACGGTCCTGTGTTCCCGCCGCCAGACTCGTCTCCGGCCCGTCTTCCTCCTCGTTCCCCTCCTGTGTCTCCTCCGCTGTCCCCTGACCCTACCCCTCCGTCTCACGTTTGGGCTCGCCGTCCCTCCCGTGCTCGTCCCGTCTCTCCTGTCCTGCCCACCCACCCTATGTTGCTCCGTTCCCACTCGTCTCGTCCTCCCCTCCTCCCGTCCCCTCCTCCCTCGTCCCTTACTGTTGCACCTCCTCCGTTCTCTGACTACCTCCGTGCTGCTCGTCCCCTTGTCCCTCGGGTCCTTGCCTCTCTTGTTACCGACCCTGCTGTTCCTGTCTCGCGCCTTGACGCGCTTGTCGCTGCTGTCGCTGACTTCGCTTCTACCCGCCGCCTTGACTACGCTACCGCTCTGGTCTCTGACCCTGCCCGTCCTCTGTCCGTCGGGGGTGCTCCTGCCCTTGGCAGTGACGTCCTAGAGGACAGGCAGTACGAGCTGGCTTTCCTTTCCGAGGCTGCTCCCCATCTCTGCTCCATGCTGTTAGTCCCTGAGGGTGACCCAGACGCCTTCGACATCCCGACCCCTCGCACCTACGCTGAGGCCACCTCGGGACCTTGGGCCTCTCAGTGGATAGCTGCCATGGAGCAGGAGATGGCATCTTGGAGATCCACCGGCACTTACGTCGACGCAGTTCCCCCGCCTGGGGTGAACGTAGTCGATGGTCGGTGGCTCTTCAAGGTGAAGCGCCCCCCTGGAGAGCCGCCTGTCTTCAAGGCGCGCTACGTGGCCAGAGGTTTCAGTCAGCGCGAGGGGGTTGACTTCTTCCAGACCTTCGCCCCGACCCCGAAGATGACCACTCTTCGGGCGCTGCTACACGTAGCAGCACAGCGTGACTACGAGCTTCACTCCCTCGACTTCTCTACTGCCTTTCTTCAGGGCAGCCTACACGAGCAGGTCTACCTGCGCCGACCACAGGGCTTCACTGGTACCTTCCCTCCTGGGACCCAGTGGCTTCTCAGGCGCCCGGTCTACGGCCTGCGTCAGGCTCCCCGCGAGTGGCACGACACGCTACGTGCCACGTTAGCAGACCTGCAGTTCTTTCCGTCCTCTGCTGACCCTTCACTGTTTGTGCGTTCCGGCCAGACTCCGTTCTACATCCTTGTCTACGTAGACGACCTGGTCTTCGCTACTCCTGACAGGGACGCACTGGCCTCTGTGAAGGCTGAGCTGCTGAAGAGACACACCTGCACTGACCTTGGAGAGCTGCGTCGCTATCTTGGCCTGCAGATCTCTAGGGACAGAGCAGCACGCACCATCACTCTGACCCAGTCACACTTGGTGCGTCAGGTCCTTCAGAGGTTCGGTCTTCAGTTCTCCTCCGCACAGCCCACACCTCTACCCGTAGACCATGGGCTCTCTGCTCCCGTTCCTGAGGAGCCAGTAGAGCCCAGTGGCCCCTACGCAGAGCTGGTGGGTTGCCTCATGTACCTGATGACTTGCACTCGCCCAGATCTCGCATACCCTCTCAGCATCCTGGCTCGCTTTGTGGCTACAGGCAGACACCGACCTCAGCACTGGTCTGCCGCTAAGAGGGTTTTGCGTTATCTTGCTAGTACATCAGGCATGGGGTTAGTGCTAGGAGGACGCAGGCCAGTGGTCCTTACTGGGCACACAGACGCTTCTTGGGCAGACGACGCTGAGACGCTCAGGTCGTCGCAGGGCTACTGTTTCAGCCTTGGTTCGGGTGCTATCTCTTGGAGATCCACTCGCTCGTCGTCTGTGGCTCAGTCTAGCTGTGAGGCTGAGATCTACGCTGGTGCCATGGCGGCACAGGAGCTCCGCTGGCTGACCTTCTTGCTCACAGACTTAGGTGAGCGGCCTAGCTCTGCCCCGGTCCTGTACGCTGACAACAGGGCCATGATACTCCTGTGTCAGGAGCCTCGGCTTGAGGGCAGAGCGAAGCATATCCAGCTGCGGTACTTCCTCCTGCGCGAGCTACAGCAGCGCCGCCAGGCCCGCGTAGTTCACTTGGCCTCAGGTGCCAACACAGCTGATATCTTTACTAAGGCGCTTGCGCCTAAAGATCATCAGCGGCACTGTGTACAGCTTGGTCTTGTTCCTATAGCTGCTCCCCTGTTAGGATCCTGATTGTGTTCTCTCTATTATATATGCTTGTCAGACTGGCCTTGTGGCCTTACCTCCAGTGGCTGGACTAGTAGTGCCACCCTGGCTTGCTTCAGTTTTGGTTGTATTCTTGCTGACTGGTCTCCAGACCCCTGCCTCAGTGGTTGGACTAGTAGTGCCGCCCTGAGCTGTTTGCTTCTTGTTTAGTTTCACCCCTTGTCTAGCCTAGGGGGTGTGTCAACCTTTACATATTATCTATGTAGAAGTTATAGGCTAGACTGAGGTATGCTTCTAGTGAGTACAACCAACTAGTATTTGTTCTAGGTTTCCACCTCTAGTAATCATTCGTTTCTACGTTAACAGACAATGCCATTGTACAAAATTTGCAACTCGGGTCCATTAGGTACTGGTTAACAGCACAATATTGAAAGCTGCCACGCTGTGCTGTTTTGGTAAGGTGCTGCAGGACCTGCTGTTCACTCAGAGAGCTACCTTCGCATGATGACACAGGATTCAGCAACTCAGGAACCCTAATCCACCTCCTCTATCTTAGGCTCTGCAGGGGATGCACCGCTCTGCCCATCCCTGGAAGCAAACCCGCAACCTGCAGCAGCAGAACCACAGCCAGCAGCAGCAGAGCCACAGCCAGCAGCCCCCGCATTGCCCTGGTATATGCGAGCCATGATGGGTGAGCACACCCCCTCCAGCTCCCTCTGCTTCTCCTCAAACTCCTCCACCTCTGCCAGCTCGTTTCCATCCAGCCACTCAAGCGTCGCATGCACAACACCCTCAACCCTCTGCTTGTCCTCTGCCCCCAGCTTGCTCCCTATCTTATCGTCCCTCACTGTGTTCCTCACTTGGTAAGCGTAGTTCTCCAGCTGGTTCTTCGCCTCCACCCGCCTCTTCACCTGCTCGTCCTCCTCCCTGAATCTCTCCGCCTCCTTCACAAGCCGCTCGATCTCACTCTGGCTCAGCCGGCCCTTGTCATTGCGGATCGTGATCCGGCTGCTCTTCCCGCTGCTCTTCTCCTCCGCCCGCACGCTCAGGATCCCATTCGCATCAATATCGAACGTGACTGTAACCTGCGGCATCCCTCGTGGAGCCGGCGGGATCCCGGCCAGCTCAAACTTGCCCAGCAGGTTGTTGTCCTGCGTGCGCGCCCTCTCCCCTTCGTACACCTGAATCAGCACCCCTGGCTGGTTGTCTGAAAATGTGGAGAATACCTCCTGCTTCTTCGTCGGAATCGTGGTGTTTCGTGGAATAAGAGTTGTCATCACTCCGCCGGCTGTCTCCAAGCCAAGGGAGAGCGGCGCCACGTCCAGAAGCAGCAGATCCTGCAGCACCTTGCCGCCCCCTTGCCCGCTCAGAATGGCCGCCTGCACCGCCGCGCCGCAAGCCACTGCCTCGTCCGGGTTGATGCTCTTGCAGAGCTCCTTGCCACTGAACAGCTCCCCCAGCAGTTGCTGCACCTTGGGAATGCGGGTCGACCCGCCCACCAGCACCACGTCGTGGATCTGCCGCTTGTCCATCCGCGCGTCCCTCAGGCACTTCTCCACCGGCTCCATGCACCTCCGAAACAGGTCCATGTTCAGCTCCTCGAATCGCGCGCGGGTCAGGGTGGAATAGAAATCTACCCCCTCAAACAGGGAGTCGATTTCGATCGTCGTCTGCGCCGTGCCTGAAAGGGTTCTCTTGGCCCGCTCGCAGGCCGTCCGCAGCCGCCGGATAGCCCGAGGGTTGCTGCCCAGGTCCTTCCTGTGCTTGCGCTTGAATTCCGCCACGAAGTGATTCACCAGCCGGTTGTCGAAATCCTCCCCTCCCAGGTGCGTGTCGCCAGCCGTCGCCTTCACCTCGAAAACGCCGTCCTCGATGCTCAACACGGACACGTCGAACGTGCCTCCGCCCAGGTCGAAGATCAGGACGTTATGCTCCTTCCCGCTCCCTCCGCCGCTGCTGCTGCCGCTCTTCTTGTCCAGGCCGTACGCGATAGCAGCTGCCGTGGGTTCGTTTATAATGCGCAGCACGTTGAGCCCAGCAATGGCGCCCGCGTCCTTGGTGGCTTGCCTCTGCGAATCGTTGAAGTAAGCGGGAACAGTGATCACCGCATCCTTCACGGTATTCCCCAGGTAAGTCTCTGCGATCTCCTTCATTTTGACCAGCACCATGGATGAGATCTCCTCTGCTGAAAAGCGCTTCTCCTCGCCTTTGAATTCCACCGCGATCATCGGCTTTTCCGACGCTCCACGGACGATCTTGAACGGCCAGAGCCTCGCGTCAGCCTCGACCGTCGGATCGGAAAACCGCCGGCCGATCAACCGCTTCGCATCGAAGACGGTGTTTCTGGGGTTCATAGCGACTTGGTTCTTCGCAGCGTCGCCAATGAGTCGCTCGGTTTCGGTGAATGCGACGTACGACGGGGTGGTTCGGTTCCCTTGGTCGTTCGCGATGATCTCGACGCGATCGTTCTGCCACACGCCCACGCAGCTGTACGTCGTTCCCAAGTCAATGCCGATAGCGGGTCCGTCGCCTTTCGCCATGTCGAGTTTCTAAGACTAGTAGTTTGAGAGAGTTTTGAGATATTTGGTCGCGAGATAGTGAGAGATACTGAAGAGGCTTTCCTTTGATTGCTTTTAGAAACTTGAATGAGTCTTATACTGAGCCCTTCGCTCTTTATAGGTCGCGAAACTAAGGACGCCATGGCTAGGGGAAGGGAGGCTGCAGAAGTGAGATCTCGAGTCTAGAATACCCTAGTACCTGGTGGAAGATACCAGTAGCAGTAGAAACATACTCCAGAACAAATCTGAACTTACGCAAATTACTCACACGAACTCTAGAACAGTCAGGAATGTTCGTGAATTCTCGACAGAGTTCGCGAATGGTAGAAACGTTTGTGCGAGCTGCTCCCAACGTCGAGCGAAATTGTGGCACTTGGTGAGACCCTGGTGAGTCGCTCAGCAGGCGACCCTAGTGTTACCAGCGATGGTCATCTCACCTGCTCATCAAGTCGCCAACATCCACATCGTGAAACGATTTGCGTGATTAGGTGTCAGATTCAGTGCGTTTTGAAGTTGCGCCACAACTGAACGATAATCTGGACCGCCCAAAAAGTGCAACATTCGCCCAGACCAGCATTCGTTCCCTTCCCAGAGTCACTTCAGGAAACCTGATCAGCCCACTTCAGCCTGAAACTGAGTTTCAGAATGGATTGAAATTCCTCACACACATCAATCCATGGCCCTTCCGTATTTCTAGCATCAGCTTGAGCTGCATGTATCTGGCCTTCTATCTGGCTTGTATGCTGACTTGCCGTGTCGCACGGTTCAACTATTGAAGCTCGAGAGAATGGCTGCTCTGCACATGGGTCTTATCCGCACGCCCGCGTTGCGTCCTCCAATAAACTGCTTCGGAGCAGAGGTGCAATGCGAGGCGAAACCAGCAGCAGCGCCGGTACCATCATCGACCAGGCGCGGCGTGCGTAGAATGTCTGTCTGCGCGTCGACGGTTCGCGCAGCAACCCCGACAGGGGGGAGACACGGTGAGCGCCATGCAATGCTGCGCTGCTGGCAGCCAGCCAACGTTGATGCTTGTCGAACCGAGGTTCGTCAATTTGGCTGACGGAGACTGAAACCGTCCGGATCGGAGAGCTTAGGTTAGGAGAGTACCGCCATGACCTATCTCCCATTGCTGACGTAGGGCTTTGACACTTGTACCTGCCGTTCTGGGTATTCGCCTGTGTGAACGTTTTGATGTTAAGTGCACTGCCATATCCTGTAACGGTCCTCTCCCTTTCCACAACTCGCAGGCGATGGCAAGGGCAGGGAATGTGTCAGGCGCAGGATGGAACGAAAGGGAGGAGCAGACCTTTCTGCTACAGCGGATGCAGCAGCAGCTGTCTTTTGAGTCGACTCAAAAGCAGATTGTTCCCTTCCCTTATCCGCACCTTGCAGGCAATGGCTTCAGCTGGGGACGTGTCAGGTGCAAGGCTCAAGGAGACGGAGCAAGGGTAAGCAACGACTCTCCCGCTACAGCTGATGCAGCAGCAGCCGTGCGGGCAGCAGTGGAGGCAAAGCGCGCGAGGGAGATCAAGAGGGAGCTCGAGAGCCTCGGTATGACCGTCTAGGTACGGCGAGCACGGTATGAGGTCATGGTATGAGGTCATGGTATGAGGTCATGGTATGAGGTCATGGTATGAGGTCATGGTGTGAGGTCATGGTATGAGGTCATGGTATGAGGCCATGGTATGAGGTCATGGTATGAGGTCATGGTACGAGGTCATGGTATGAGGTCATGGTACGAGGTCATGGTAGGAGGTCATGGTATGAGGTCATGGTATGAGGTCATGGTATGAGGTCATGGTATGAGGTCATGGTATGAGGTCATGGTATGAGGTCATGGTACGAGGTCATGGTAGGAGGTCATGGTATGAGGTCATGGTATGAGGTCATGGTATGAGGTCATGGTATGAGGTCATGGTACGAGGTCATGGTACGAGGTCATGGTACGAGGTCATGGTACGAGGTAATGGTACGAGGTCATGGTATGAGGTCATGGTATGAGGTCATGGTATGAGGTCATGGTATGAGGTAATGGTATGAGGTCATGGTATGAGGTCATGGTATGAGGTCATGGTACGAGGTCATGGTACGAGGTCATGGTACGAGGTCATGGTACGAGGTAATGGTACGAGGTCATGGTATGAGGTCATGGTATGAGGTCATGGTATGAGGTCATGGTATGAGGTCATGGTATGAGGTAATGGTAGACATGCGTGGCTAGACAGGTTCTCCAATGTAGGCATGAGCATCGAGTCGAGTTGGGTCAGGCTCGTCTCGAGTTGGCTCTGACTCGGCTGCGACTCGAGGCGAGTCCGGCTCGACTTGTCTCCAGTCAGCCTGAGCAAGTCTCGGACTCGTGACTCGCCCTGCTGTGCTTGAGTCACTGCTGACTCGAAACGAGTCACGCTCAACTGGAGACAAGTCGTGCCGGACTCGACTCGAGCGTTACATGACGGGCCTACAACGGTCAGGCACCATGCGCCAACCCTTGGATACAGGACCTAGAACCACGTCATGATTCAATCTTGCTTTCATATCGGGGCTTCTTTTGCACCTGTCTGACTGATCCTTCTTTTGCACCTGTCTGACTACCCAGCCCCACCTGAAACCGAGTCGTGCCGGTCGACTCGACGAGTCAAACCTCTGACTCCAACGAGTTAAAACTCAGTCTTCAAGTCAGCCCCGGCTCGGCGTTTTTTAAACCATCGAGCCTAGTTTTACTTGTGACGCGACCACGGTGACTCGACTCGACTCGGATCGAGTCGGTGGGCAGCGGGCCCACACGTGTGGTGTGGCTCGACTCGTCAAATTGTCCACTCGAAACTCGACTCCTTTGCTCATACCACTCCAATGTGGGTACAGGAGAATCTGTGATGGGTGTTGTGCCGCCTCTACATCCGTTGTGCTGAACACCCCCCCCCCCCATAATTCCAGCACACATGAAATACTTGACATGGACCAGCTGGTCTCCACCCTCTTTGCTCATCGCATGCATTGCAGTTTCCTCCGCGTCTTACAGTCACATGGTTTCTCTATCCGCTGTTGCGCTCCCACAGTCTCCCATCCCAGGCACCACAAGTATTCGACAAGGAACCACCTGGTCTCTATGCTCGTCGTCACCCACCACATGTATTGCCCTTCGTGAACAGTGCTTTTGTGCCTCCTCTTACGGTCGCAACTCAACCCTCGTGCTCTTGTGTCCCTCCCTTGTTGCTGTCTTACCCCCCAGGAATCAGCGCCGGAGGAGTATTCGTCAAGGACCAGCTGGTCGCCATGCTCGTTACTTATGGCATGTGCTGCAGTGCTTCACCTTGTTTGTTTCTCTTCTTCCTGACACATGCCATACCATTCTCTTCTTCCTGACACATGCCATACCATTCTCTTCACACCCTCCCAGGAATCAGCACGCAGGGCGTGTTTGACAAGGACCAGCTGGTCTCCATGCTTGTTGCTCATCGCCTCTCAGCTTCTTCATCCTCTTCTCAACAGCCCAGCAGCAGCAGCAGCAGCAGCAGCAGTGGCAGAACCCCAGAGTCTTCTTCTGCCTCCCCCTCCCCTTCCTCTTCCCGCTCCTCGTCCCCCTCGTCCGACTCCCAGGGCGTCATCCTCCGCATGCCCATGCGTCGACTCGCCACCACGGCCAGAGAGCCCCGTGAATACGTCATCCTGCCCCTAGAAGTCGCCGGAAAGGGCCCCTTCGATTTTCTCCTAGACACCGGCAGCAGCACAACCCTAGTCTCCCCCCACTTCGCCTACAACACTATCGGGTTGTCTACTAACGAGGGCAGGATGACCCAGGGCTTGGGGGGGATGGGACCGGAGGGGAAGCAGGGGCGGGAGCTGCTGCTGCCGGACGTGAGGCTCGGGGAGTTTAGGTTCGGGCCGATGCAAGCGGTGGTGCTGGACCTGCAGTATACGGGTCTGCCTGTTTCGGTGGCTGGGATTGTGGGGCTGTCATTCCTGTCTGCCTTTGACATGGACTTTGACTTTCCTGCCAGCTCTCTCACCATCATGCTCTCAGGTATTTTCCTTCTCTCTGTTCTCCCTCTCTCTAAGTTGAGACGTCTTTCATGCTACATTTTTCACGCCACCTACGGAACCCAACCTCTACAGCTGGGAGGTCTGTCGTTTCTGTCTGCATCTCACTCATTCCTAGTGTCCCCCCCTCCCCCCCCCCTCTTATGCCCTACACACCTCCTTTTCGTCCGTCCACATCCCTCCCTCCTTCCTTCATCCGCCTTTATTCTCCCAGGTGCAGCACTGGCAGCAGCAGGGATGAAATGACAACAACAAGAGCCACCACAACAAGAGCCACCACAACAAGAGGCACCACAACAAGAGCCACCACAACAAGAGCCACCACAACAAGAGGCACCACAACAAGAGCCACCACAACAAGAGGCACCATTCCTTCTCCCATCTCTCCCACCCCCCCTGCCTTTCCCCAATCTCTTTCTCCCTCGTCTTGTTGCACCCACTCCCCCCCATTCGCCCCCCACTGTCTTACCAGGTGCAGCTCTTGCCGCAGCAGGCATATGGGCAGCAGGAGGCACCATCCCCCCTCCCCCTTCCGCTGCCTCCCAGGGCTTGGATTTTGAGGGGCTAGCGATGCTGGCACCTGCCACCGTCCCCTTCAATCTGCCTGCTGTCCAGGTGCGTCTCTTAAGAGACCGTTTTCATTCTTTTCAGAAGGTGCTTCGTCTGCCGCTGATGCCGCTGCTTCCCGGGGCTTGGAGTTCGAGGGGCTAGCGATGCGATGCTGGGACCTGCCACTGTTCCCTTCAACTTGCATGCTGTCCAGGTATGGATTGAGGCACCCACACGACCACTCAGGTATGTGTTGAGGCACCCACACGACCACTCGGTGTGTGTTGAGGCACCCACACGGCCACTCAGGTGTGTGTTGATCCGTCTCGTCCTTGTCCTTCTCGGCCTCCCTTTTCAATTCTTCTTACACTCGGCCTTCTCGGCCTTCCTTTTCAATCCTTCGACAACTCTTTTTCTCGCGATCTCCGTCTCCGTGCACCTCCTATCAGTGTCACCTAGGGCCGGATTGTTTTAGAAATGGGGTCGGGGCTCAGCCAGCCTCATGTCTTTCTTTTCTCGCAGCCTCATCTCCCCCTCTTCTCTCCCCCGTACCATCCATCAAACACTCAGATCTCTGTGAACGGGCGGCACTTGGAGACAGCCATTCTCGACATGGGGTCTGGTCTCAGCCTCATTACCAAAGCAGTGGCGTCTCGTGCCGGCATCACACCCACCAACATTGTAAGCACCCTCACTCAACGGGACCAGCTCTGGTGATATTCGCTCCTCTTGAGAGTTGATGACCCCATAGCATTATCAACGTAACCTCACGTGGATGGACAAGGAATTGCTCCTCCCATCACAGCATCCCGGTTGTCCATCACAGCTCCTACACGCCACACCCCCCCATCCCCCCCCTCGCCCGCCACCCCCCCAAACCCCCCCCCTCCCGCCCCCCCCCGCTTCTCACGCCCTGTCCCTTTTGGCAGATAGTGTGCAGTACTGTGGGATGCAGAAGGACTCGGTCGAAGGACATGATGATCCACATTATGGCTGGAACTGGGAAGTCGCGCAACAGCAGCGGCTGCTCCTGTTTCTCGGATAACGTGTGGCCCACGTTGCTTTCTCCCCTACTTTTCTGTCATCCCACATGTGTCCCCCAATCCCCCCTTTTCCCCCTTTTTGTGCTTCAGGGTGTAGCTTCAATGGTGGATGTGGGAGGAGGAACAACACAAATGGGAGGAGCGATCGCAGATCTCTTCCTTATAACGAAACAAGGAGGGCCAGCAGGAGGGGCATCAGGCGGCCGTATCCCCTTTACAAGCCTCCCCATGATTGTAGGGGACCTGCCGGCTCTGGCAGTGATGGGCGCGGGGGCAGTGGTGGGGATGGATGTGCTCAAGAGGACACGGTGCGTGGTGTGCTTTAAGGACAACAGGGTCCTGCTACAGAAGAGGGCCTGATGTTATGTGTTGAGGCGTCTCAATTTACTAGCTCTGGCAGTGATGGGAGGAGGAGCAGCGGGCACAGTGGTGGGGATGGATGTGCTCAAAAGGACTCGCTGCATGGTGTGCTTTAAGGACAATAGGGTCCTACCTACTACCGGTACAGAAGAGGGCCTAATGTTGCTTTCCCTTTGCAGGAGGCTGTGGGTTTGCTGCCAGAAATAGGAAGTGCGGTGCGACTGCTGCAGAGCCAAAGATAGAAGAGATGGATTGGGATGCTTGGGTTGTTTGCTGCTAACCTTAATGATATCATGTAATGTAAGGTAGTTGGTTGTACAGTGAGTCTGCTGTTTGGACTTTCGAAAGGGAGTTATGAACAGTGGTCACTTTTCACACGAGGATGACAAAATACCCTCATGTGTGCTATACGAACGTGGTGATACAAATTAAGATAAATTCCTGCTTAGGAAGCCCTCATTAGAACAATACAGTACCTGCATTACGGTAAAGTTTTATCACCACAAATTGCGTTACCACTAACAAGTACACGCACGGCCAGGCTAAAGCAACAGATTCGTCCCATTGCTTAGCTGCAACACACTTTCCTGGCAACACCTCTATTAGATTCTCTCCTCCCCCCCACTCTCCCGGCCCTCCCGCTTCTGCTCCTGCTGCGGCTTGTCCACAGCAGCATGCAGCACTGCCAGGTATCACCACCTCTCCCTGTCTTCTCAGCCTGCTCAGCCGCTCGAGACGCTCAACAACCCCCCCCTCTGTTTAAGGCACCTAAAAGCAGTGCCCTCTCCCCCTGCTCCCAGTTCAGCGTCAAAGGCCTCCTGTGCATGCCCACTGCCCAGCCAGCAATACAGCGCTCTAGCCTCTATGCCTCCTGCGCCTGCTCCGCTGCTCTGGACGCGGCCCGCATCCTCGCCCTCTGCTCCGGAGTCAGCCTCACCGGCCGCCTGCGCCCTCCAGCAAGGATGCCACCCCTTCCCCCTGCCACCGCTCCCCCCTCCTCAGGCATTTCCGCGGGCAGGGCGGCAGCAGCGTTGGTGAACGCGCTGAGCACCACGAAGGCCAGAATCGGGGACAAATCGAGGGTGCCCCCGATCGGGGGAATTAACCCTCGGAAAATGTTCAGGTACGGGTCGCAGATGGTGCTGAGCGGGCTGACGATGGCGGACGGCGCATTGGGGAACCACGTGAGGAGAATCCTCACTATAAGCACGGTGTTGTACAGGTTAAGGAAACTGTACAGTCCTTGAGTGACGACTAGTTCCGCTACAGTATCGCCAGGAATTACAGCAGCCAAGGGGGAGTTCGTCTGCTTAACCAGCAGGTGAAGGGGGTCGGCGGAGGGGGACGCAGTGGGGGAGCCAGGGAGGGGAAGGCGGAGCCTCTCCCCCACCAGCATCAGCGCGTAGTACACGTCAGCAAGGTGGTCCAGCGCGGCTTCCGCCACCTCCTGCGCGAATCCCAGTGCGAACTGGCGCGCGAGCGCCACGTGGCGCTCGGTGGTTCGCTGGAGGTCGCGGAGCGGGGAGGGGGAGGTTGCGCGGAGGGCAAGGGGCTTGGTGGTTGCGCTCATGCGGAGGAGGGAGTGGGAGAGGGGGGAGAAGGGGAGCGCGGAGGGGGAGAGGACTGCGGAATCCGCGGGGAGAGTGGGCGCGGAGGGGGAGTAGTGCGCGCTGGAGGGAGGGGGGAGGGTGCACGCGAGGGCGAGGGCCCCTTGAAGGAAGTCGGCGGAGTTATAGGCGGCCATGGCTCTGCAAATGGAGAAATGCGGAGGGGGAACGTAGGGGGGGGTGGGGAGGAGGGAGGTTAGGGGGAATCGAGGTAAAAGGAGGGGGGGAGGAAGAGCTGAGAGGGGGGACGGAGTTGCATAGAGAAGCAACGGAGAGTTTCGTCACGTGAATCACGGCGGGATGCACGAAAGAGTCGTCCAAAGTGAGGTGGGGGTAATGCGAGTGCTGGAAGACCGGGCGCATTATCAGGCACAAAAAGCGGCGGGGGAGCTGAAGGGAGATTGGGGAGCAGGAAGCATTAGAAAACAATGTGCAGGGGAATGGTGATGGAGAGACGACGAATCTCGATGATTCTCGAAAAATGGTGCTCTTTCTTTGATTCGTGCATCCTCTGATGACCCCATTCGTTAGTATTTTCCAGCGCGTTGTTATCTCGCCTTACTCCTAAAATTTTACAATCGATGGAAATTTAACAAGATGGAAAATTTAAAACGTCGTAAAGCTATTAAGGATAGTTGTGTGCATTCATTCGGCATTACGGAAAATGGGGTGACGAGCTGAGGTGCAACTAGCGGTAACGGAATGGACTAAAAAACGTCTCCTGCTGGTCGAAGCTGGAAACCGCATTGAGAATCCCTTGGTTTCCTCCTGGGATCTCCTTAAAGCCCAAAAAAATTTGTTTTTTGAGAATCCCTCCGATACGCGAATCCCTTTGCACGACATTACAAAGCTTAGTAGAAATGAAACTACCATCCTTACAATTGCAGTCGGTTGAAGGAACATGACTGGGAATACTCACCTCGTCGCGAAAAGAACGACGTGCAAGGACACTCCGACTCGAGTTGTTCTCCAGCTAACTCCTCAGGTGGACTCTCGTCGCAGTATTTCTCTGCCTCCACGTAATTCGAGAAAAAGGGAAGAGTTGGTGATGATAATGAAACGAAGGCAGGAAGACTAGTCAGGTGCCTGTAATGTTATCTGCGGAGATTCTATTGCTGCTGGAAGGCATGGCTGAGGAGGATGCACAGGTGCTGTCTTGATTTCAGTTCAGGTTCAGCTGACGTGGAGGGGAGGAGGCTTGCTTCTCGACGGGTAAACTACTCAAATACGACTTTCAGGGTGTAGCAATATCACACAACACACAATAGAGTGCCACTGGGGGAATAGTCCACGTTCTGTTTATGCTTTCTGGAGGTGAAATTCACATTTGCCTCCCGAGTTCAAACTGCTTTTGAGCTCTGAAGAGTGCGGAACTCGTCTTCGGAGAAACTGGCTGGCACAGTGGGTGTACTACAGCTCCGCTCCAAAAATTTGTAGTCAATCCAGAGGGAAAGCCCAGCGGGGATGTTTGTAGGACGAAGCGAGCCTTGGCTCTGGGACTTGTTCAATATCTGACGTGGGGCTACCTAATTTGTCAGGCTTGGAGAGGGAAATATTTTCATGAAACGTGGACTATCTCTCCTTGATCGTGCCACGTCTGCATTCTGCATACGAATATCACAACCGCTGTGCCTGGGATATTCCGATACAAGCATTTCCGAGTATAAGGAATGTTCCATATCACTTATATCATCCAGAGACATAGAGAATGCTAAAGAATATTTCGGGGCAAGTAAGAATTGTTCTGAACAATAACAAAGAGTGCACGGAACAATACTGACGATCACAATGATGAGAGCCTATCAATGGAGAGCCCTAGCTAGGCGAGGGCCTCGGAGGGCTAGATTGGATACAGGCGCGGTCGAAAGGGGCGGAGGTGGTGCGAGCCAGCCTCGGTTGTTGCTTCGGGACAGACCGAGCCTGGTCTTCCTACAGTTTGGGTATATGCCATGCAGTAAAACCTGGCAAGGAATAAAATTCCCTACACTACGCTATCCATTCTAAGAACGGTGATCAATATCATGAGGGCATTTTCTGGTGGGAAAGTATATCGGCGCTCAGTATTAAGGGCCTCGATTACATGTACGGTCAGTGACACGATATAAACAATCAGAATTACCCAGTTCGCAACATGTTTCATCAGTCACGTTCAACCGTTAGTCAGAAACTGCAGGAAAATAGTTCCACGAATGGTCAGTAGTCTCAGAGTATAAAAGTTAACTGGAATGCGGCATATAGGTTGATTTTGTTCAATTGGTTGTACCCTCTAAGAGCATGCACCTATCTAGCCTACTATAATATATACAAATATGTATGACACACCCCCTAGGCCAGAATAGGGGCAGTGCCTGGAAAGCGACATACAGCTCAGTGTGGCACTACTAGTCCAGCCTCTGAGGCAAGGGTCCGAAGACCATTCAGCCAGAGTACAAGCAAAACAAGAGCAACCCAGGGCGGTACTACTAGTCCATCCACTGGAATAGGAGCCACAAGGCCAGTCAAGAGAATATAACAGGAGTACACAATCAGGGTCCTAGCAAGTGAGAAGCTACACGAACTAGACCAAGCTGTACACGGTGGCGTTGATTATCCTTAGGCGCAAGCGCCTTAGTAAAGATATCTGCTGTGTTGGCACCGGAGGCCAAGTGTACTACACCGGCCTGGCGGCGGTGCTGCAGATAGCGTAGGAGGAAGTACCGCAACTGAATGCGCTTCGCTCTGCCCTCTGCTCGAGGCTCCTGACACAGGGGGATAATGGCCCTGTTGTCAGCGTACAGGACTGGGGCAGAGCTAGGCCGCTCACCTAAGTCTGTGAGCAAGAAAGCCAGCCAGCGGAGCTCCTGTGCCGCCATGGCACCAGCGTAGATCTCAGCCTCGCAGCTGGACTGTGCAACAGACGACGAGCAAGTGGACCTCCACGAGACCGCGCCTGCACCAATGCTAAAGCAGTAGCTCTGCGAGGACCTGAGGGTCTCAGCGTCGTCTGCCCCAGAAGCGTCTGTATGCCCAGGTCGTCTATGTAGACAACGATGTAGAACAGAGTTTGGCCAGCACGAACGAAGAGCGAGGGGCCTGCATAGGACGGAAAGAACTGCAGGTCAGCTAGCGTAGCACGCAGCATGTCGTGCCACTCATGGGGCGCCTGTCGCAGGCTGTAGACCGGGCGCTGTAGGAGCCATTGGGTCCCAGGAGGTAAGGTATCGGTGAACCCCTGTGGACGGCGCAGGTAGACCTGCTCGTGTAGGCTGCCCTGAAGAAAAGCAGTGGAGAATTCGAGGAAGTGGAGCACGTAATCACGCTGTGCTGCTACGTGTAGCAACGCCCGAAGAGTAGCCATCTTCGGGGTCGGGGCGAAGGTCTAAAAGAAGTCCACCCCCTCGCGCTGACGGAAACCTCTAGCTACGTAGCGCGCCTTGAATAAACGCGACTCTCCAGGAGGGCGCTTCACCTTAAAAAGCCACCGGCCATCAACTACGTTCACCCCAGGTGGGGGAATTGCATCGATGTAGGTGTCGGTGGATCTCCAAGATGCGATCTCCTGCTCCATGGCAGCTATCCACTGAGAGGCCCAGGGTCCCCAGGTCGCCTCAGCGGAAGTGCGAGGGGTCGATATGTCAAAGGCGTATGGGTCACCCTCAGGGACTAGCAGCATGGAACAGAGATGGGGAGCAGCCTCAAACAAGAAAGCAAGCTCGTACTGGCTGTCCTCTAGGACGTCACTACCAAGGGCAGGAGAACCCCCGACGGACGGAGGACAGACATGGTCAGGGACAGGAGCGGTGGCATAGTCAAGGCGGTGGGTAGAGGCAAAGTCAGCGACAGCAGCGACAAGAGCGTCAAGACTCGAGACAGGAACAGACGGGTCGGTAACGAGGGAGGCAAGGACCTGAGGAACAAGAGGACGAGCGGCACAAAGGTAGTACGACAAAAGGAGAGGCGCAACAACGAGCGACGACGGAGGAGGCGAAGGCAAGAGAGGAGGACGAGATTCGTGAGAACGAAGCAACATGGGGTGAGAGCGCTGAACAGGAGAGACATGACGAGCACAAGAGGGACGGCGCGACCACATGTGAGACGGAGGTTTCTGGTCAGGAGACAGAGGAGGAGACACAAGAGGGGAACGAGGTGCGAAATGGGCCGTGGACGAGTCCGGCGGAGGAAACACAGGACCGTGGACAGGAAGGGGAGGAGGCAGCGGGGAAGGTGCAGGCGAGCGGTCAAGGGAGGGAAGGCCGAGGAAGCGAAGTGCGGACACCGGCGGCGACTGCTGCTGCTGTTGCTACTCGACGCCGACACCTGGACCGCCACCTGCAGTACGTCTACCACTAAAACACTCCACTCCAGCACCCCCAGAACGAGCACCCCCAGAGCGAGAACTATCTCGAGCACCGGTGCCGCCCCCAGGCCTACCGGGACAAGCCACGACAGGAACCCTCCTCAACACCAGCACCCCCAGAGTCCACGGACGGCTGCTGCTGCTGCGGTGGTGGCGGCGGCTGCTGCGGCGGTGGCGGCTGCTGCTCCTGCGGCTGCGACGACAGCTGCGCGAGGGGAAACCGGGGGAGAGGCAGGCGGCAAGAAGTGCGCCGCGGGGCCACCAGAGTCAGCCGACTCCTCGACCAGGACAACCGACGGGAGGGGAGTGACATGAGACACACCAGACAGAGAAGGACGGGGAGGGAGGGGAGCAGGGGCTACTGGGGGAGTGGGAACCAGAAACAGGGGTGGGGAAACGGGGAGACCTCGGTGGGGAAAGCGACAGTAAAAGGAGACACACTCATCGAAAGTGACGTCACGCGAGTAGAGGAAGCGGTGAGACTGCGGGTTGTAAAAGTGCCAGTCAGACGAGTCTAGGGGGAAACCAAGGAAGACACAGGGGACAGTGCGGGGAGCTAGCTTGTCCGTGCCAGAGGCACGAATGTGAGCGAGGCATCCCCAGACGTGAAACGCAGATGCGTCACCAGGAGACCCGGTCTAGAGGAGGGTCGGTGAAACTTGTTGTTGGTGGGACTGGGGCCACGGGTTCAGCTGGTGAGCGGGGTATCGAACAGCGAACGACCACAAAAAATGGGGTGTACCGGCATGGATCATGGAGGTACGAGCCACCTCCATGACCCAGCCGATGCGTCACTAAGCGACCCCATTCTGCTGTGGGGAGTCTGGCAAGGTGTACGATTGGGTGATGCCCTCTGCACGACAGAACCGGCCAAGCCGACCGTAGGCAAACTCGCCGCCACGGTCGGAGTGGAGACCCAGCACTAGGAGACCTCGGCGGACTTACGTAGCTACGACCCATGGGATAAGAACGTCAAGCACGTCGGCCTTCCGTTCCAAGGGAAACATCATGGTGTAGCGCGTGTAGTCGTCGACAAGCACCAGGAAGTAGCGCTCTCGATGCGGCCCAAGGACGGGGCCTGGAACCCAGACGTCCAGGTGCAGGGTCTGGAGTTGCGTGGTGGCAGGGCAAAGCGAGGAGGAGTGACGTGCACGGCACAGCTGGCCATCGACGCAGGGTGTGCACGGTGGCGAAGGCGAGGGAGGGAGAGAAGGGAGCGACGCAGGGAGGCCTAGGACAAGACCGTGGTGGGACATGTGAGCGCTTGCACGCTGGTTTACCTATGCGGTTGTGCCACAGCAGCGACTACCTAGGGGGACGCCCTCACCAGGGGGGACGCAGTGTCAAGCGTAAACAGGCCGGACACAGGGTCCCGGGGAAACGTGGTCAGAGGAGCACCAGTGGCGGTCTCGGTGCAGACCGCGTACCACTCGTGTCCGGGGAACATAGTGGTGACGCCGAGGTCCTGAAGAGAGCCGACACCAACTAGGTTTCTGGAGAACGAGGGGATGTGCAGGCCTGTAAGAGTGTCCGAGGGGACCGCCGGACAGGGAAGGGTGGTGGAGCTATGTGCAATACCAGACTTAAGGAGGGGTCTGCAAGTGTGATGGCTGCAGGGGCGGCAAGTGGCGTAAGGGAAGTGTGGTCGCGGAAGAAGCGCGTAGATGCACCAGACTCAAGCGTGAAGGAGGGCGAAGCGCTAGCAGCAACCGGCGGAGGGGCTAGTGTGGAGCCTAGGCTAAACAAGGCAGACGAGCCTATGCCTGACGCAGCAGGGGAGCCTAGACTACACACAGTGGACACACCTACGCTAGGCAACACCGAGTAATAGGGTCCAATCACACTAGAGTCATCAGCATACATGACAGATATAGCATTCCAAATCTGATCCATGTCAAGCTCAAAGATCGGCATACGACGGCGAGCCAGGGCATACAAGTCCGGAGGGTCCGGCGCATGACCGAAGTGGTGGCGGAACAGGTCGTTGAGGCGGCGGTAGCAGCGGTCGGCGGTGTGGCCGGGCAGGAGGCAGACAATGCCGCGGCGAGGGCCGGTCAGAAGCTGGTACTGGCAGGTGACCGCACTGGAGCTGCCACACGACACCGAGCTGCGCCCACCCCCCCCACGACCACCGCCACTAGCGCCGCCAGTCCACCACGGCGGCGGCGGTCCCCATGGCCACTGCTGCTGCTGCGACGATTGCTGCGGTGGCTGCGGCTGCTGTAGCTGCTGAGTCTGCTGTTGCTGCTGCTGAGGCTGCGTCTGCTACTGCGGCTACTCCGGGGCACCAGCCCTGGTCCCCTCGTCTGAACCACCGTCCCTGCCCTCACCGCCGCCACCCTCCTGACCGCCACCACGCCCCCCTTTGGGGCGGCGACCCTTATCTGGATGCTTCTGCGCTAAGGCCGCATCAACGATCTCATTAACAGCATCAAAGACGTCAGAGTAAGTGCACTGGGAGGGAGCACAGCCCTGAAAGATAGGCACCGCGCAGTACCGCTAGACTAAGCGATACTACGCTGGCAGATCTCTATCTCAGACAGGGCAGTGACAAAGGCGGTGAGAGTGAGGTCACCCGGGTGCTGACTAAGGAAGTGGTCGCGGGCTGTGGCTAGGCAGTCAGGGAGGCGCGTGGCGATGAGATATAGGGTAGCGTAGAGCGGCGATGGGAAGGCAGTGAGCTGTGCTTCAGTGCTAGCAGCGCGGTAGCTTGTCTCCAGCGCGCGGAGGTGCGTGGCAAAGTCGGCAATAGTGGGGAAGGACGCAAGATCAGGGAACAGCATGGGAAGGATCAGGCGACCAGTAGAGGCAATGGCGGGGGTAGAATTGTGCGCAATGACAGCATCTAAGAAGGCATGGTCGTTCGCTACAGTGGTAAAGCGAGGACGTTCAGACAGCGTGAGCGCATGGCTGATAGCTGTGCGACGGCGTCGCACGAGTCCCAAACGGCACAAGCAAGCGCAACAACGGAAAAGGCCTCACGCTTAGCAGTGGTGGAGGCATCAGGGAGGGCAGCAGGTGCAGGGGGGAAGGGAAGCAGGCCATCGACATGAACAGCCAGAGAGTGACCATCCTGGTGCTGACATGTAAGGTGACGCCGAAGGTTGACCAGCCACGCCTCAAAGTCGAGCGACCGACCCTTTGTGTCCAGACGGAGCTGTGACTCCGCGAGAAGGACTAGTTCCCAGCCCGTCATGGTAATATTGCACCACTGAAGGTCGGTGTAGCGTCTGGCAGTAGTGTTGGATTTTTTACATAAACTCCATCGCTTTTTCGCGGGCAGCCTGAAGCTCGCTGACAAACTACTGGGAGCGGGGGACGGGGTTGTCGAGATTTGTTGTCGTGGGTACTGTAGGGTCTATCCCATAGTTGAGGAAGAACTGAGGGTGATTAGTCGTTGGGAATGGTGCGTTTTTGTAGGAAAATTCCGGCATTGGCAGGGACTCTTCCCACCGTGCAGGATCGGGGCAGTTGGTTCGGATGAGCTGCTCCATGGTCTGATTGGTGCGTTCGATCTAGCCACTGGTTTGTGGATGGTAGGCAGACGAAAATTGAAGGCAGGTGCCATATTTTTCTGAGGTTTCTTGCCAAAATCAGGACGTGAACTTGGGCTTGCGGTCGCTTGTACAGTGGCAGGAAAAATTGTCCACATGTTTAGCATATTTTTACATTTTGACGAGCTGTACGCTATAAACATTAAGCCTTAATTCATGGTGGCCATACACGTAGAGAGGAGCAGTTAGAGTACTCACTCAAATCTCCTAAAACCAGAGTAGTATATTTCATGGTCCTTCAAGACGACAACATTTAATAACAGCACATCCGGACAATTTGTACCGAGGACAGGCAGCAAACTAGTTACTAGCAAAACTAGTACCTAGTCAACCGACACTTGGCCTTGATCACCACCTACACCCTCCTAGGCATATTATCTACGAGGTTAGTGCAAACCTTTACAGGGATCTTCTCGCACTCTTCCTGCACCCACGCTTTTGCATAAGGGGGTGAGCACTAGGAAAATCGCGAAGTATTTGAACGTATGCAAGAGTACTGTGCACGATTTCATGTTGAATGTTATCTCTAAGACTAGCCATGCTGAGGTGTGGCCAAAGATGCCATAAGTCGATTGGTCTCGTCTTATCATGGATCGTCTTCATCGTATCGTTGTAGGTAAAAATTACGAGCAGAGTGGCGAAAAATTGCGTATCTGCCACGAAACTTAGGGTAACATAGCACGGTTGACAGTGCATCCTTGCACTATTAGAATCACGCTAGGATCCGTAGGTCTCTGAGCGGTGCAGAAGTCGAAGTAGTTACCGAAATTGACGCCGTCAATTTCCGTAGGTCTCTGAGCGGTTCTCTAGCGAAGTTCCATACTAGTAGGTAATTCCATCCCACAACACATGGTACGAATGACTGCCATTTCCGCCGATGCTATTGCTGCTAATACGAAATGCCATTTCTGTTGGCTACTGCCTTGTATGGGACGATCATTGTAGCTGCTGCTGTGCATAGTGGGATCATAGCTGCTGCTGCTAAGTAATGAAATTTTGGCTTAGACTACTGTTGTTAGGAGGGACGAGACAAGATTGTCGCCACTGCTAACACAACCAATGACATGATTGATGCTCGCCCTACTTCTATGTGTGACAGGACCACCACCGCCACTATTGCTGCTGTGCGTAACGAGTTCCCGTTGTTGCTGCTTCGGCAGCACAGATGCTATTACAGGTGACAAGTTCCTGCAGCGGCTGCAGCTATGAATGTCACCCATTTACACTGCGTGCTACTGCTAGTGTGTATGGCACGACGATGATGATGCTGCTGCTGATTGCTATGTTTTATTGCAAGGGCCCCTAGCCCCCTAAAACCATGGTCTCTAATAATACGCACTATTAACAGGGTGAAACTAAGGCACCCATACTTGTCAGAGTAAAAAAATCCAAAACATAGGGTTACTATGAAGTCTCAGGGAAAAAATTGAGGACCACTCTAATTTTCAGAGTAGCGGGAAATGTCACTACCGGATTCCAGAGTAGTGAAAACCCAAAAATCAGCACTGGCTTGGACCGCTGCAACTCGTACTGAATGTCAAAATGTAGCCCTGTTATGTAGCTGTCTCGCTTTTCCACTTCGCTGAGGACATCCAGTTGGTCTGCAAGTGCAAAAACGACGTCGTGTAATCTTGGACAGTAGTCACCTGCCGCCAGTTGCGCAGCTTCATGCGAGCATCGTCTGAGGCGGACGAGTGCTCAAAACGAGCTTGTAGCGCTATGCTCAACTGTTTCCATGTGCGAATCGTGTCGTCCCGAAGATCGTTTCTGCTCATTGGTTAGAAGAGTCTGAAGTCCCATCCTTCGCCTGCTTCACGCCAGCCGCAGTCTTCGTCGCCAAATGACGTCGCCACCAATCCAGCGCTGGCTCTCAAAGCAGCAACACGGCGTAATTAATGCGCGCGTCATCCACGCTCATGCTTGCGGTGGTAAAGAATAATTCCATGCTGAACAACCACCCTTGTATAGTAGTTGACTTGTCCATGGGGTTGAACGAGGGCGGCGTGGCTAGCTTGAGTTTAAACTTCGTCACAGTCATAGTGTGCGCGTCTTCCTGCTCCAGTTCCCTTGCAAGCTCGTCGAGGACGGTCTCGCTCGCCTCATCATTGGCTTCTTTCTTGACGTCATTATCTGCGACCGTGAACGACTCCTCACGCGCTTCACGACGTGTCTGGCGAAGCGCTGTGTTCTCCTTCCGAAGTCTCACGACTTCATTGTTCAAACCCGCCATATGGGTTTGCATTGCATGCATCTGAGCCATGACCTCGTCTAGTTGGGCCTGAGTCATGACGCGAATGCTTCGTCTTTCGGGCAGGGGGAAGGTCGTGGTAAGAAACCTCAGGGGGCGCAAACGCTATTGTAGTTGTGTGAGCTAGTAACTCTAGCTCACGAACAACCGCTTTGCAGCCCCGCAGGATTAACCACGCCTTGGAAATAATCTACCACGAGAAAACGAGTGAACCAGGAAAGTAGCTCTGATACCAAATGTTAATAATAACAGAGAGTGCGCGGATAATAATGAGGAGTACAATGATGAGAGCGTAACAATATATAGCGAGAGCCTTAGTTAGGCGGGGACCCCGGACGGCTTAGGTTGGGTACAGGCGCGGTCGAAAGGGCTGAAGGCGGCGCAAGCCAGCCTCAGACCGAGCCCACTCTTCTGAGAGTTCGAGTGTACGTGATGCAGTAGAACCCAGTAAGGAATAGAATTCCTTCACACGTATGAACTAGTATGTAAACAAATTCTGTAACCCATGTGAGTACTGGAAGGAGGTTTTCTGCCACCTAGTAGATATTTTTCATGACACGTGTGTGGACAATGATGGTAGCTTGGTGAGAAAATCGAGCAGCATGGAAGAAAAATGGAGGTGTGTTAGGAGAAAACAACTAAAACTGCCTCAGCAGAGGATTGAACTCTGGACCTTTCGCTTACGAAGCGAACGCACTACCACTGTGCTACTGGGGCGATGCTAGAAAGCGATAATACAGTTAAAGATCAATTGAATTAATGTAATCAGCTATCAGCATCAGCCAGCGATCAGCCATGGCGACTTCCACGGCTCGCGCCAAGCTGAAAATCCGGAGCTTGCCGAAAGCCAAGTCCGATGGACCGACCTCCCCGAGAACCGCCTCCAAGGCGGACGCCATGCGGTAATTCGTGATTCGTGGTTTCTTAATGTTTTTGCGAACGAGGCGCCTTGTAATGCGGGTTTCCATGCACGAGGACGAACTCGTACGAACGGTCTGTAGGGTAACCTGGTCGGACCAAAGAAGTCCTCTTTAGGCTATTCCGCACCTGGCTCTGCGTTTGCGTGGTCAATGCTCCTAAATTTTCATGCTCGGTCGAAGATGACAGCCGAAGGGCTTCAGTAGCAGCCAAGTAACATCAAAGTTACAGCAAGCCGAGTAGCCAAGTAACCGCTATGGCCCTCGCTTTGAGCGACGAAGCCGCTTATTACAAGTCCTGGAGCCCGTAGACAGGTTACCAGGTGTTACGAATGCAACTTCTGGCCTATATGCAGTCTCGGCAAGAATTCACGCGAGCCTAGGGCGTCGTCTGCTCTCACCACTCATCCTTGGCTCTCAATCCTCCGCCTTCCGCCTTGTGCCTTCCGCCTTTCCCCTTCCCCGTTCCCCCTTCCTTCTTCCAACCCCCCATTCCCCCTTCCTTCCCTTCTTCCCCCCCCACCTTCCTCCTTCCCCCTTCCCCCTTCCCCCTTCCCCCTTCCCCCTTCCCCCTTCCCCTCCCTTCCACCTTCCGCCTTCCAACTTCCACTTTCCACCTTTCCCCTTCCCTCTTCCTCTTTCCCCTTCTCCCTTTCTAACTCCCCCCTTTCCCCTTCCGCCTTCCACCTTCGGCCTTCCGCCTTCCGCGTCCCTCCTTTCCCGTCCCATCTTGTCCTCATGTCCACGTGTCCACATGTCCACGTGTCCACATGTCCACGTGTCCACGTGTTTCTCACTGCCCCCGCCATGCAGGGACATGTATGGCTTCACGCTCCAGAGCCAGTACACGGACATCTACAAGACATTCGCACGGATTTACCAGGTGCGGTGCGGCCTTCCCTGCTTTCTTTGCTTCGTCCTCTCCTCTCCACGTCCTCCCTCTCCACGTCCTCCCTCTCCACGTCCTCCCTCTCCACGTCCTCCCTATCCACGTCCTCCCTCTCCACGTCCTCCCTCTCCACGTCCTCCCTCTCCACGTCCTCCCTCTCCACGTCCTCCCTATCCACGTCCTCCCTCTCCACGTCCTCCCTCTCCACGTCCTCCCTCTCCACGTCCTCCCTCTCCACGTCCTCCCTCTCCACGTCCTCCCTCTCCACGTCCTCCCTCTCCACGTCCTCCCCCTCCACGTCCTCCCTCTCCACGTCCTCCCTCTCCACGTCCTCCCTCTCCACGTCCTCCCTCTCCACGTCCCCCCCCTCCACGTCCTCCCCCTACACGTCCTCACCGTTGCACCATATCCTAGTCGCCGCCCGTTCCTCTCGCACGCACCCCAATCACCATATATTTCAATCCCCACTACCCCATGGCACCACGCGCGGCCCTCCCAGGTGGAGGAGGAGGAGCGGTGTGACCTGTGAGACCACTTCCGTTATGCGGCGCCTTGAGAGTCAATTTCTCCCAACCAAACAATCACCACACACAATCCCCCACCCCCTCCCCTCCCCCTCCCCTCCCCATCCCTGCTCCTCTTCCCCCACCAACTGGAGGAGGAGAAGCGGTCAGACAGACGGGATAAGTTCCTTGTTGAGGCGCCTTTCTACCTCGACACACCCCCTGTAGGCGGAGGAGGAGGAGCGATCAGACCGGCAGGACAAGCCCCTTTGAGAGGTGCCTTGATATTCAATTCCCTCGAAAGCAATCACCACACCACCACGCCCCCAACCAGGTGGAGGAGGAGGAGCGGTCAGACCGGTGGGACAAGTTCCTGCAGCACTGCGACCTCTCCTTGCGCGCACCTTCCTCCTCCTCCGCCCACACCGCCACAGCAGCACAGGCAGCATCAGCAGCAGCACAGGCAGCATCAGCAGCAGCTGCATCTCCCTCCGAAGCTGGAATGGAAGTGGGAGTAGGACTGGGGAGAGAAGGAGAAGGCGGGGAGGAGGGAGCAGCAGCACTGGGAGGGGAAAGGGTAGGAGGAGTGTTTCAGGGAGGAAGGGAAGGGGGAGGAGGAGGAGGAGGAGAAGGGGTAGGGTCAGGAGCAGGGGAATGGCCGCTAGACAGCCCTGCGTCCGCGCCAACCACCCCTGGGGACTTCAGGGGTGCGAGGCTGGCTGACGTGGAGCTGACGGTAGATCCTGTGCTCCGGAGGGGGTCCGGGGGGGATGCAAGATTCAGAGAGCAATTTCGGGAGGAGCTGGTCACTATAGAGAGGGTGCTTAAAGGGAGGAAGCTGTGGAGGAGGAGGGGAGGAGAAGGGGCCAGGCGGGAGGGGAGTGGGGATGGGGAGATTGGTGGGATCTCTTTTAGGGGTGGGAATGCTGCTGCTGGTGCTGGTGCTGGTGCTGGTGCTGGTGCTGGTGCTGGTGCTGGTGCTGGTGCTGGTGCTGCTGCTGGTGCTGGTGCTGGTGCTGGTGCTGGTGCTGGTGCTGCTGCTGGTGCTGGTGCTGGTGCTGGTGCTGGTGCTGCTGCTAGCGTTGGTGCAGCAGCAGCTGTGGATAGACATGGGGAGGAAGGGAGTGTGCGAGGGGATGTGGGGATTTCGAGTGTAGATGTGAGCGTGGATGTGAGTGTGAGCGGGAGAGAGAGTGAAAGGGAGAGTGAGAGTGAAGGAATGAGAAAAGAGAAACGGGCAGATGATCGAGCAAAGGAAGGGCTTGAGGCGATGCAAAGCTCAGGCGTGCTTGAGAGTTCCGGCTCAGTAAAGGAAGGTGAACGGGAAAGGGATGCTGTAGGAAGTGGCTCTACCAAAGGGGAGAAAGATTTGCATGCTGCTGTGGCTTGTAACGAGGATGCTCCAAAGGAAACAGAGGCTGGAAGAAAAGAGGGAGAGGGTGCGAGTAAGGCTGATGCTGCTGCAGACGCAGGGGATAAGAAGACTGGAGAGGCAGAGCAAGGGGCGTGTGTGCAGTCGCCTGGAAAGACGAAGTTGCAAGATGGAGAGGTGGGGGATGGTGGAAAAAAGGCAAGCTTAGGATTTGGTGAGGGGGGAGGGGAAAAGGTGGAGTGTGGAGTAAAGGAGGAGGAAAAAGTGAAGGGTAAGGGTTCGAAAACGAAAGTGGAGGAGGAAGAGGAGGAAGAAGAGGAGGAGGAGGAAGAGGAGGAAGAAGAGGAGGAGGAGGAAGAGGAGGAAGAGGAGGAAGAGGAGGAGGAGGAAGAAGAGGAGGAGGAGGAAGAAGAAGAGGAAGAAGAGGAGGAGGAAGAGGAAGAGGAGGAGGAAGAGGAGGAGGAAGAGGAGGAGGAAGAAGAGGAAGAGGAGGAAGAAGAGGAGGAGGAAGAAGAGGAAGAGGAGGAAGAGGAGGAGGAGGAAGAGGAGGAGGAGGAAGAGGAGGAGGAAGAAGAGGAAGAGGAGGAAGAAGAGGAAGATGAGGAAGAGGAGGAGGAGGAGGAGGAAGAGGAGGAGGAAGGGAAGAAAGAGGTTACTGAAGCAGGCAAAGAGGGCACAGAGGGAAGCAAGAAAGCCACGGCACCGACTGAAAAGAACGGCACCTCTGGAGGCTCCAAGGCAGAGAGCAAAGAAACTACAGAGCAGTCAAAAGCCGTCGGAGCAGCACGAGCAAGCGGAGCACCAGCAGCGGCAGCAGCAAGCCAACAAAAAGAGCCCAAGAGCCCATCCAAGTCATCCAAGCCATCCGAGCTACTGAGCCCTTCCAAGTCCTCAAAGCTGCTGAAAATAGTTCCCCCCTCCCCTCCCGCCTCTCTAGCAGACCTGCAGGCGAACCTGCTGTCGCCGGCTGCCACTGCCGCTGCCGTGCAGGCGCAGAGGGATGCAGCAGACGCTGCTGCGGCACTTGATGCCATTGCGAATAAGACGCTCAAGGCCGCAAGGGAGGCTCAGGGCGAGGTGGGAGAGACAGAGGGAGAGGGGATGCTGGCACAGAGGGAAGCAGCAGAAGCTGCAGATGCACTGGAAGCCGTGGCGAATAGGACGCTCAAGACAGCGAGGGAGGCACAGTCAAACGTGGGACAGGGAGGAGAGATGGCGGGAGTGGGAGGGGGAGGAGAGCAGGCGGGGGTGGGGATGGGAGCAGAGGTCGAGGTTGTAGCGGGCGGGCAGTCTCTGATGGGCGAGACGGACGAGAAGGGTGGAATGGGGAAGGATGATGGAGGGGAGGGGACGGGGAAGGCAGGAGTGGAAGAGGGCGAGGAGGGGTTAAAGCAGGCGATAGAGGCGCACGGGGAGAGCCAGGAGGGGAAGCAAGAGCAGGAGGAGGAGGAGCAGCAGCAAGAGGCGGAGGGGGAGGGGAATGAGGCGGAGGGGAGTGTGAATGCACTGCGGCGGCCGTTCAACACGGCAGGGTTCCCGATGCTGGGGCGCGTGCCGTGGGGGAGAGAGCTGCACTCGCTGGTGATGGGCGGTGTGCCCATGAATCTAAGAGGAGAGGTGAGTGGGCGGTGAGGTGCGCCCATGAATCTAAGAGGAGAGGTGAGTGGGCGGTGAGGTGTGCCCATGAATCTAAGAGGAGAGGTGAGTGGGCGGTGAGGTGTGCCCATGAATCGAAGAGGAGAGGTGAGTGGGCGGTGAGGTGTGCCCATGAATCTAAGAGGAGAGGTGAGTGGGCGGTTGAGAAAGGGACAGCTAGATGTGAGACTCATGGCGCCTGCTCAACCCGGCTGTTTTCTCGATGCTGGGCCGGATGCCATGTGTGGGACCGGGGCCGGGAGTTGCACTCTCTGGTGATGGGAGGTGTGCCCATGAGCCTACGGGGAGAGGAGGGTGGATGTGGGCAAGGGTTAGAAGTGTGAATGCGCTGCGGAGGCTGTTCAACATGGCAGGGCTCCTGATGCTTGGACGGGTGCCATGGGGCAGGGAGCTGCACGCTCTAGTAATGAGGGCCATGCCTATGAGGGGAGGTGAGCGGGTGATAGCAATGTCGATTGTTGCGGAGGCTGTTCAACATGGCTGGACTCCCGATGCTGGGACGGGTGCCATGGGGCAGGGAGCTGCACTCGCTTATTATGGGAGGCGTGCCACGCGCATGAAAATACGAGGGAAGGTGCGTGGGCGAGGGAAAGAGAAAACTAGACCTGATGGCCGGAAACGTGAATGAATTATGCCGGTCGCTCAACAATGCTGGGTTCCGGATGCTGGGGCGAGTGCATTGGGGGAGGGAGTTGCATTCCCTTGTTATGGGGGCAAGTTGTTTTTTGAGAATTCTCAAAAACCAATTGACTCGATGAACCTACGAGAAGGGTTGTGCCCGATGCTCTTCTGAGGAGGAGCCTTACACGGAGCTCCGAACCCCCCTCCTTCCCTCCCCTGCCCGCCGAATTACTCTGACTGCAGGTGTGGCAGATATTCGTGGGCACTAAGGCGAGAAGGCGGGCGGGGCTGTACGACGCTCTTCTCGAGGAGGCTCATAAGGAGGACGAGCACTGCCCCAACAGCAGCCTGGCTGACATCTATGCCCGCATCCGCGCCAAGGACGTGCAGAACTCATGGGCCGTGCAGATTGAGAAGGTGAGAAGAGATTGAAATGTCTCTCAACCACCCCTTCCCATTCTACTCCCTTCTCCCCCTCGAATTCCCCTCTCATGTCCCTCCCCTCATTTGGTCCTCTGCTCTTTCCTGCCCTTTCCTGCCCTTTCCTCCTCCCTTTCCGCCGCCCTTTCCTGCTCTCCAATCCAACCCGCGTCGCTCCATCGTGGTCTCGTGTGCGTTTGGCATTGCCTGTGCCAGGACCTTCCTCGCACCTTCCCTGGCCACCCAGCGTTGGACTCTATAGGTCGAGACTCGCTGCGCCGGCTGCTAACGGCGTATGCGAGGAAGAACAAGGAAGTGGGGTACTGCCAGGTGAGGGGTGGTGCCAGGTGAGGGGTGGTGCCAGGTGAGGGGTGGTGCCAGATGAGGGGTGCTGCCAGGTGAGGGGTGCTGATTGCGGGCATTCATGTGTGTGTGTGTGTGTGTGTGTGTGTGTGTGTGTGTGTGTGTGTGTTTCTGTGTGTGTGTGTCTGTGTGTGTGTGTGTGTTTTTGTGTGTCAAGTGTGTGTGTGTGTCAAGGACATGGTAACCTGGTAAACAGCAACCTGGGAATAATATCTCCTCCCTCCGCCCGCCCACATGACAGGGAATGAACTTTCTAGGCGGTCTGCTGCTGCTCCTTATGCCGGAGGAGAATGCGTTCTGGTGAGTCCAAGATTATTGAGTTGACTCAAAAATCACGTTCTGGTGAGTGAAAGATGGATTAATGGTGAGCTTCTGCAGAGGCCTTACGGTGACTCTCACCAGGGTGACTCTCACCAGAGTGACTCTCACCATAATGACTCTCTTCTCTTGTGATGTGAGTGATGGTGCGCTGCGCTTGCCCATTCTTTTGAGGCGCCTCAAAACGGAGGTCTTGTGAGAGATGGTGTTGCGGCAGTCTTCTGAGGCCCACTCTTCTGAGGCCCATTCTTCTGAGGCCCATTCTTCTGAGGCCCATTCTTCTGAGGCCCATTCTTCTGAGGCCCACTCTTCTGAGGCCCATTCTTCTGAGGCCCATTCTTCTGAGGCCCATTCTTCTGAGGCCCATTCTTCTGAGGCCCATTCTTCTGAGGCCCATTCTTCTGAGGCCCATTCTTCTGAGGCCCATTCTTCTGAGGCCCATTCTTCTGAGGCCCATTCTTCTGAGGCCCATTCTTCTGAGGCCCATTCTTCTGAGGCCCATTCTTCTGAGGCCCATTCTTCTGAGGCCCACTCTTCTGAGGCCCATTCTTCTGAGGCCCACTCTTCTGAGGCCCACTCTTCTGAGGCCCATTCTTCTGAGGCCCATTCTTCTGAGGCCCATTCTTCTGAGGCCCATTCTTCTGAGGCCCATTCTTCTGAGGCCCATTCTTCTGAGGCCCATTCTTCTGAGGCCCATTCTTCTGAGGCCCATTCTTCTGAGGCCCATTCTTCTGAGGCCCACTCTTCTGAGGCCCATTCTTCTGAGGCCCATTCTTCTGAGGCCCATTCTTCTGAGGCCCATTCTTCTGAGGCCCATTCTTCTGAGGCCCATTCTTCTGAGGCCCACTCTTCTGAGGCCCACTCTTCTGAGGCCCACTCTTCTGAGGCCCATTCTTCTGAGGCCCATTCTTCTGAGGCCCATTCTTCTGAGGCCCGTTCTTCTGAGGCCCATTCTTCTGAGGCCCATTCTTCTGAGGCCCGTTCTTGGTACGTTGAGGCAACCCACCCACAACTGTGCTTTGATACTTGAGAGTCAAGGCGGTTGTTAATCGCAACCAACCGAGCTTTGAGCCGCTAGAAAATATTGTTTGGTGTGGAGATTACATGGCCAGTATTGAGTTTTATAGCAAGAGCATTCGGCTGTTTTTAGCGAAGGGGAAGGCAACAGCATTCAGCCTCCTAGAAGCGCGTGCCTGCTCCCCCACTCCTGTTTTCACCTCTCTATCCTCCCACTTCTCCTCAGCCTTCTAAAGAGCATCCGCCCACCACTTACCCACCTTGTCACCTCTCCACCCACCCACTTCTCCTCGTTCCTTCCTGGCCTCTCCTATCCGAATGTCGCCCAGCCAAGATGTTCACGCCCACTGCCTTTCCACTGCTGTTCGCCTGTGTGCATCTCCAGGACTCTCACAGGCATCGTGGATGACTACCTGAGGGGCTATTACTCCGACAACATGATTGAGGCTCAGGTGAGGCTCAGGTGAGGCTCAGGTGAGGGCCGTTGAGCTGTACAGTTTTCTTATAAGCTGAAGGGATCTGTAGGTCGAAAGGCGGTTAAGCTCAGAAAAAGCACAGAAGGTGCCACCTTCTGGCAGAAGATGATCTGCAGGTTGTCTTTTGAGTCGACTCAAAAGTCCTTCTGGCAGAAGATGATCTGCAGGTTGCAGGTTGACTTTTGAGTCGACTCAAAAGTCCTTCTGGCAGAAGATGATCTGCAGGTTGACTTTTGAGTCGACTCAAAAGTATTTCTGGCAGAAGATGATCTGCAGGTTGACTTTTGAGTCGACTCAAAAGTCCTTGTGGCAGAAGATGATCTGCAGGTTTCGTTCCGGCGTGTTTGGAGGGCTCTGTGTGGGTTGAATGAAGTCGGACAGACAGGGCTCCTTTTGTGGCATTTTACGCATGACGTTCGTGGTGACTGACGTTCGTGGCTAAGTTGGTACTTTACGTCACTTTAGGTGACGTAAACGTACAGTACGCGTAACGTTACGTTTACGTTACGTTACGCGTACGTTACGTTTACGTCGCCGGGCAGGCCCTGAAAATTTTTCCCGGGCAATTTTTTTCCCTCCAAAAACCGCGTTCTAGAACTACGCGATTTGCAACTACGCCGAGATTATCGCTGCCCACGGTTCGGGCAGATCTACCCCGCCATGAACTATGGCGCACGTAGATTCGTCGCGCTGGTCGAAGGCGCGCTAATATCCTAGGATGCGACTTAGACTTAACTTAGTTGCTGCTGGAGATAGGGTAGCGACTGACATTCGTCGAGGAGGGAAGGGGAATTGAATGTCGAGGAGGGTTGGGTTGGGTTAGGTAGGGGTTGACGTTGACTGGTTGGAGTACGAGCACGTCAGATTTGACGCGCACAAATCCGTCGACTGGTTGGATTGCCGGCGCGTCAAGCAGCGGGACGAGATTTCGCGCACGCGGTAATTTCGCCAACCAGTCAACAGATTGTAAATTTCGTCGCACCTAAATGTGACTTTCGACGCACCGGCAGAAGTTGGCGATTGTGGCTTGCGACGAAAGTGCAGCCAGCAAGCCAACCAATCCCAAACAATCAGAAACACGTTTACGCGTTCCTAACAATTTCCTACGGCGTGATTTCCGCAAAACTGGTTCGCGGCACGACGAATTCAAAGAGGTACTTAACTACGCCTGATTTCCACAAATCCACACAGCTCCAAACAGCAATTGCTCTTACTCAAATTTCCAAGTGAAAACTGCATTGTACTTCTGCTTGAATTTCCAAACTCCGTTGACCATTTTGTTTGGAAATTCTTCAAGGTTCCCGAAGGGGGAAAATCTGACTCTACTTTGGAGAAGCAATGCACTTTTTGCAACGGCACTTGGAAATTCAACGTGGTCCGAGCGCAGAACCATATTCTTGGAACCCCTAATAGCGGCGTGAGAGCGTGCCCCTCAGCTACTTTCGAGGCGAAGGAGGCTGTTAGGGCTACCTTGGCAAAGAAGAAGAGTGACGACGAGGAGAAGAAGAAAGCGACTCACAGGACAATGAATGCGTTCACGCATACTCCAACCAGCCACACGGGCAGCAACATGTCGGAGAGCAGTGGTTGCGCGCGAAAGCGGCAAGCGACGCAGATGACACTCACGGATGGGCGTCCCAAGCCGGTGGACGCTGCGAACGCACAATTGGCGATTGCGACGTTCTTCCATGTTTGTCGCATCCCGCCACACGTGGCTGAACACGAGGTCTTCAAAACCATGTTGAAGAAGGTGGCGGCTGCTGGCACTGGTTTCACCCCCCCCGGGCGTCGGCTCATCATGGGCCGCCTTCTTGAGGAGTGCAAGACGAAGACGGAGAATGCGCTCAAGGATGTGAAAGAGTCCTGGGACGACATTGGAGTGAGCATCGCGTGCGACGGATGGACGGATGGGGAAGGTCGTCCTCAGCTCAACATTTTGGCCGTCAACTCCAACGCGTCGGTCTTCTTGTTTGGCGTTGATTGCGGCACGGAGAAGAAAGGAGCTGATTACATCGCCGGGCACTTGAAAACAGCGATTGAGGAGGTCGGCGCGGAGAATGTCGTCGGAGTGCTGATGGATGGTGCGAGCGCGAACATCAACGCTGCCAGCTTGGTCAAGGAGGAATATCCGAAGGTGCAGTGGATTCGTTGTGCCGCACACTCGCTTAGCCTCCTTATGAAGGACATCGGGGGGCTCGACTGGGCCAAACCGACCATCGACGAGGCGCAGCAACTCATTTCGACATTGAAGAACGGGCAGTGGATCACGGGCTACTTTCGGGAAAAGGATTCGCTGAAGGTGCTGAAGCCTGCAGGCACGCGGTTTGGGACTAACTACATCGCCCTTGAGCGTCTGGTTTCGGTGCGTGACACGCTGGAGGCAATGATGAAGACCAAGGGGTTCGACGATTACACGAAGGGGAGGCCCAAAATGAAGGACGCACGCGACACGGTGCAGCGGAAAGGATTCTGGAAGGGCGTTGAGCTAGTAGTTGCCGTTCTCAAGCCGGTCTACATGACGCTGAGGAAAGTCGACGGGAATCAAGAGGTCATGGGCAAAATGTACGAAATGATGATCGATTTGGAGGAGCAGGTGGATAGGGCGTGCGCGGATTTGGAGAGCGCCGAGAAGGAGGAGGTTGCGGAGATCGTGCGGAATAGGTGGAATGATGACATCAATTGCCCGCTTCACGTGGTGGGGCGCATTCTCTATCCACCCAACCAATACGAGAAATTTTTTGGACACGACGACAAGGAGTGCACCGCAATCTTTAAGCGGTTTGTGCGCGACTACTACAAGGGAGAGACTATGAAGGTCGGGAATGTCATTAAACCAATGGCCACGATCGTCGAGGGCGAGGTGTTGACGTACATCAAAGGGAAGGGGGAAATCGGAGAGCAGAAGGCTAAGGACGAACACATCCTTATCAAGGAGGGTCACTTGGACCCCGTGCAGTGGTGGATTATGAATGGCTCCGATTGCCCCAACCTGGCGAAGCTCGCGTGCAGGGTACTCAAGCAGTGCGTGTCGGCATCGACATGCGAGACGAACTGGGGTGTGTGGGAGTCTATCCACACCGCACGCCGCAACCGACTCGGCCCCAAGCGTCTTGCGGATTTGGTTTACATAAGCCACAACTACCACACGGTGAAGAAGCTTAATGACGACTTCTCCAAGAAAATGATGGTTTCGGAACTTCCAGTGATTCGGGAGGAGCCAAAGGATGGCTATGAGCCCCTCGATGATGATAACGACATCCCTGATGATGCGTATGTGGACACTCCCGTTGATGACGAGCCTAGCATGGATGAGTGAAGGTAGCATCTGCAAGTTTGCATGTTATAAGCGTAGCACCTGTTGGAAACTTGGTATTTTGTGGATGTTTTCTATCTTCCTACGAAAAGACTTAATGGCCAATGGAATTCTGTACAAAAATCTGCCTAGGGTTCCCTCCTCTCTTTTTTTTTCTGGGCAGGTAGAAAAATTTTAGCCTGCCCGTACATACAGGCCTAAAACCAGAATCGCGTAAACGTACGTAAACGTAAACGTACACGTACGTAAACGTAACGTAAGGAACCAACTTAGGTTCGTGGTGACTGACGTTCGTGGTGACTGACGTTCGTGGTGACTGACGTTCGTGGTGACAGACGTTCGTGGTGACCGACGTTCGTGGTGACCGACGTTCGTGGTGACCGACGTTCGTGGTGACCGACGTTCGTGGTGACCGACGTTCGTGGTGACCGACGTTCGTGGTGACCGACGTTCGTGGTGACCGACGTTCGTGGTGACCGACGTTCGTGGTGACCGACGTTCGTGGTGACCGACGTTCGTGGTGACCGACGTTCGTGGTGACCGACGTTCGTGGTGACCGACGTTCGTGGTGACCGACGTTCGTGGTGACCGACGTTCGTGGTGACCGACGTTCGTGGTGACCGACGTTCGTGGTGACCGACGTTCGTGGTGACCGACGTTCGTGGTGACTGACGTTCGTGGTGACTGACATTCGTGGTGACCGACGTTTGTTGTGGTGAGTGACACCCGTGGCTGACTTGAGAATTCTCAAAGATCTCTCGCATCGCAAGGACTGACGTTCGTGGTGAGTGACAGCTGTGGCTGCCTTGACCATGCGCATCCTTATTCCATGTAGCGTCCATAACCTCTTATTCCATGTAGCGTCCATAACCTCTTATTCCATGTAGCGTCCATAACCTCTTATTCCATGTAGCGTCCATAACCTCTTATTCCATGTAGCGTCCATAACCTCTTATTCCATGTAGCGTCCATAACCTCTTATTCCATGTAGCGTCCATAACCTCTTATTCCATGTAGCGTCCATAACCTCTTATTCCATGTAGCGTCCATAACCTCTTATTCCATGTAGCGTCCATAACCTCTTATTCCATGTAGCGGCCATAACCTTTCTTCTTCCTTCTCTCCCTCTCTACCCCCTTCTGGACTCACTCTCTCTCGCAGCAGATGGACGGCTTGTGTTTGAAGACCTTGTGAGACCAAGCGTGAGGAGTCTATTTTTGAGGCGCCTAAGAAATGGACGGCTTGTGTTTGTGTGTGTGTGTGTCTTGACCCTGTCACTCCCTCGCCCAACAGCTGGATCAGCTTTTGTTTGAAGACCTTGTGAGACCAAACGTGTGAGGTGCCTCAAAGGAAGTTCTGTATGTTTGTGTGTGTGTCTTGACCCTGTCACTCCCTCGCCCAACAGGTGGATCAGCTTGTGTTTGAAGAACTCGTGAGGCAAAACTTTCCAAGACTCGGTAAGACTACTTTTCATACGCAGCAGAATTTTTGTACTGGGCACTGGGTGGTGAAGGGAAATGGGGAGAGAAGTGATCCAGTAGTGATTGGCAGATCATGTGAACCCATGGCTTTCCAGAGCCTGCTTGGCAGAGTTGTTTGCAACCCTCCCCTGTTTTTGAGGCGCCTAGATTAAGGCGTTCAGAGAGAGAAGTGACCAGAGCAATGCTTGGCCGATCACGTGAACCTATTGGCTTTCCAGAGCCTGCTTGGCAGAGGTGTTTGCAACCCTCGCATGGTTTTTGAGGCGGCGAAATAAATTATGGCGTTCTCAGCCTTCCTCTTATTTCTCTCTACTGCATGCACGAACAGCTTCCCTCAGCAACCCACTTTGAGAGCACGGCCGTGCAAATGCCGCGTGGACTACTGGCCCCTGATTCCTTCCCTCCCATCTTCCCCTCTCACCTATCTCCCCTCGCACCCATCTCCCCTCTTCCCTCTGCTCTTCCTCGTATCCCTTTTCCAAATCTCTCCAGCAGCTCACTTTGTGAGCATGGCCGTGCAAGTTGCAACTGTTGCGGGCAACTGGCCCCTGGTCCCTCTCCCTCACCTCCATCTTCCTCTCCCGTTGTCCCTCACCTCATCTTTCACCCGCTCTTCATCCCTCCAGCATTTCTCTTTGAGAGCATGGCTGTGCAGCTGTTGCGGGCAATTGGCCCCCGGTTCCTCTCCATTTCCCCCATCCATCCCTTCCCTCCCATTCGCCCTTTTTCCCATCTTCCTCTCTCACCCCTGCTCATCCCTCCAGCGACCCACTTCAAGAGAATGAACGTGCAATTGTCGTGGATAATCTTGCTGCTCTGCTTGAAGGATTGAGCAGATTTCTGTTTCCGAAAGATTTGGTTGACTTCCCTCCGCCACCTCCCCTTCCTCCACCTCTCCCATCTGCCCCATGTTCCCCTCCCCCCCCATCTCTCCAGCGACCCACTTCGAGAGCATGAACGTGCAACTGTCGTGGATAACAGGCCCCTGGTTCCTCTCCCTTTTCATCAACGTCTTCCCCTGGGAAAGCGGTGAGCTGCCATACAGGCCCTTGTAAAAAATTTAATAAAGTTTCAGCTGGCCCTTCATCTCATTAGAAAGGTTCACACTGGGAGAGCTGTGGGTTGACTTTACAGTTTATGCATAAACTCTCCCTCATGACTCCTCTCCCTCTTCACCAATGTCTTCCCCTGGGAAAGCGATGAGGTGCTTCCAAGATGTCTCAAGACTCACTCTTCGTCAATATGGTGCCTTTGGGCAACGACCTGTCTTTCCACTCCCTCTCTCCCTTTTCCCGTTTGCTGTGTGGGGAGTGTGGCACGTGATGCTATTCGAGATGACTTGACCCAAAAGTCATCTCGGAGAGCGTAGCACATGATGCTATTCGACTGCAATCGTTCCCTAACCCTTTCGCGACTAACTCTCCTCTTGCTCTCGCTCCCCACCTTCCCCCCACCCAAACCCGTTTCTCTCCTGCAGGGTTGAGAGTGGGGGACGTGATGCCATTCGAGGGCAGTCGCTGCAGCACGACTAGACACCAGAAAACAGCAACGGAGAGACAAGACAGCAAGCCAGGGAGAGCGACATGCACGAAACACAACTAGACTAACGACCTCTCTCCCTCTCTCCATCGCTCCCTCCCTCCCATCACCTTGCAAATCTGTCCTGTGCGGCAGTGCTGCGAGTGTGGGACGTGATGCTATTTGAAGGCTCTCGCTGCATGCTCTTCAGAGCGTGCCTGGCGCTTCTCGAGCAGCACTGTGAGGATGAACTGTTGAGGGTTGAGGGCTGGGGTTTGAGGGTTGGGGGTTTCTTGAGCATACAGGACTCCCTTTGCACTTCAGATCAGAGCGTGCCTTGGGCTTCTCGAGCTGCACTGTGAGCAATCAGGGTGGGGGTTCTGGTTTCAGTGTTTAGAGACACATCGCGTGAATCACAGTGCTCTGTGCTGTACTCTTCTGTTGTGCTGCCCGAAACCCGAAACCCTTAATGCGTTGGCTGCTCTTGCCCGTACCCCCCATCTCCTCTCCCCTTCCCCGTACACCCCATCCCCTATCCCCTTCCCCCTACCCCCCATCCCTTATCCCCTTCCCCCTGCCCAGACGGGCGAGCTCATGTCGACCCTCCTGTCCCATGAAGGTCCTGTTCTCGCTCCCTGTCCTCCCCACCCCCCCCTCCCCCTGACTCTGTCGGCAGCCTTTCTTCTCATGGAGCTGAATGAGACGGGCGAGCTCATGTCAACCCTCCAGAACGTAGCAGCGTCAGCCTTCGATGCGAGCCAGCTGGTGCTGAATGCGTGTGTGGGGTACATGGGGGTCAACGAGACACTCTTGGAGGTAGGTATACCATGCGAGCGACCCATTGCCCATGTTGATGGGACACCATTGGAGGTGAGTGAGGCACGTTATTGCCCCAACTTTACTCTTGTCATGTCACAGTGTCTGCCTGCCTTCGATGCGAGCCAGCTGGTGCGGAACGCGTGTGTGGGGTACATGGGGGTCAGTGAGACGGTGCTGGAGGTGAGTGGAAGACCATGTCATTGATTGGCCCATTACCAGTGTCACATTGCAGTGCCCTCTGCAGCAGTGTCACGTAGCAGTGCCCTCTGCAGCAGCCACGTAGCAGTGCCCTATGCAGCAGTGTCACGTAGCAGTGCCCTCTGCAGCAGCCACGTAGCAGTGCCCTCTGCAGCAGTGTCACGTAGCAGTGTCCTCTGCAGCAGTGTCACGTAGCAGTGCCCTCTGCAGCAGCCACGGAGCAGTGCCCTCTGCAGCAGTGTCACGTGGCAGTGCCCTATGCAGCAGTGTCACGTAGCAGTGCCCTCTGCAGCAGCCACGTAGCAGTGCCCTCTGCAGCAGTGTCATGTAGCAGTGTCCTCTGCAGCAGTGTCACGTAACAGTGCCCTCTGCAGCAGCCACGTAGCAGTGGCCTCTGCAGCAGTGTCACGTGGCAGTGCCCTATGCAGCAGTGTCACGTAGCAGTGCCCTCTGCAGCAGCCACGTAGCAGTGCCCTCTGCAGCAGTGTCACGTAGCAGTGTCCTCTGCAGCAGTGTCACGTAGCAGTGCCCTCTGCAGCAGCCACGTAGCAGTGGCCTCTGCAGCAGTGTCACGTAGCAGTGTCCTCTGCAGCAGTGTCACGTAGCAGTGCCCTCTGCAGCAGCCACGTAGCAGTGCCCTCTGCAGCAGTGTCACGTAGCAGTGTCCTCTGCAGCAGCCACGTAGCAGTGCCCTCTGCAACAGTGTCACGTAGCAGTGTTCTCTGCAGCAGTGTCACGTAGCAGTGTCCTCTGCAGCAGTGTCACGTAGCAGTGCCCTCTGCAGCAGCCACGTAGCAGTGCCCTCTGCAGCAGTGTCACGTAGCAGTGTCCTCTGCAGCAGCCACGTAGCAGTGCCCTCTGCAACAGTGTCACGTAGCAGTGTTCTCTGCAGCAGTGTCACGTAGCAGTGTCCTCTGCAGCAGTGTCACGTAGCAGTGCCCTCTGCAGCAGCCACATAGCAGTGTCCTCTGCAGAAGCCACGTAGCAGTGTCCTCTGCAGCAGAGTCACATAGCAGTGTCCTCTGCAGGAGTGTCTGCTGCTGATGCGCGTCAGCTAATGCTGATCGCACGTATGGGGTGAATTAGAGACTACTGCATTCCTTCTAGGTGCTGAGATGAGCCGAGAAGGATTCACCGGCCTTCACTCTTGAATGCTTCAGTGGAGGAGCTGCAGATGGCCGTGCAGCGATATCAGAGCGGCAGGTCGGTCGGAGTGACCCTGTGCGTTCCCTTGCACTCCCGTTGGAACTCCTCTGTGCAAATTTTGAGGCGCCTCAGAACCAAAACGCTTCTCCCTCAGGACCTAAGGGGGGAGCACCGCCCAGCCCAGCCCAGGCATCATGCAGCGCCTACAGGAACGCCAGATAGCCCTGCAATGGTATCAGAGCAGCAAGTCGGGTGGGAGCGACAAGTTGTTCCCCCTTGTGCTCCCCTTGGGAGACCCAAGGCAGAAGCTCCGGCCAGCCATCAGGAAGTGCCTGGAGGAACGCCCGATCGCCGTGCAGCAGTATCAGAGCGGCAAGTCGTAGCGCCCATGTGCCCCGCCTTCCCCCTCTCATCTATTCTTATCATCTGTTCCCCTCTTGCTGCCCCCAGGACCTCAGACAGAAGCACCGGCCAGCCATCATGAAGAGACTAGAAGAACGGCAGATCGCCCTGCAGCGGTACCAGAGCGGCAAGTCGGAGCGCCTCAAGGCCGAAGCCGCGGCCATCTTCGAGCGCATGGCCCTCAACCCCGCCGCTGCCACCAACTCCATTGACGACTCCATCCTCCCCTCGCCTTCCTCCTCCACTTCTGGGGCTTCCCTGCTGCTAGACCCGCCCTCTCTCCTCCTGCCGGCCTCTTCTACTAACAGCCTCGTTACTAACAGCAAGAGCGGTAAAAATCATAACAGAAACAGTCAACTGCCCCCTCTATTCACCCAAGGGAGACAGAAGGGGGCTGTTCAGGGTGCATCCCAGGCAATCCCAGCAGCCAATCAGCTCTTGCCACCTGTCCACTTCAAGCCAGGCGCGATATTGTTCCCCCTCCCCCCCACTCCTCCGCTGTCCCGTTCCTCCTCCCTCTCAAGGCTCCACGTGTCAGCTCTCCATAGGCCCATCTGGCACCGCTTTGGCATGCACTTAGGCTGCAGCCCTGCTGCTAGAAGCATGGTGGCGCTCTTAGCTAAGCAAATGGAGGAGGAGCGGACTCAGGCTCGGGTCCTGCCGAAGCTGTCGCTGCCGAACCGAGTGGCTCGCGCCGTGGCTGTGTTGCTGGAAGCAGCAGGTGTGGGTGCTGGAAAAGGGGGGAAGGATGGTGAAACGTGGGGGGCAGAAGGCAAAGATAGGAGGGGCGAGGGGGTGAAAGGTGGCTTGGTTATGGGCATAGATGGGTCCTGGGTTGAGGCAAGTTGGGCTGGTATCCACGGGGAGTTGAGAGGTGGAGGTGGGGGAGGAGGAGAAAAGAGAGAAGATTGGGGAGAGGGAGGAGTGGTGCAAGAGGGAGGGGAGGCTGATAGTGCAGCGAGCAGGCTGGCAGTGAAGTCCTTCTCCTCTCACTCCCCCTCACAGTCACTCCCCCTTTGGCCCGACCACCGCCGGTCGTCCTCCTCGCATGACCTCGCTGCTCTGAACCGCGGCCCCGCTTCCCCTGACCTCCTCCTGATAAACGGCTGCGCTGCTGCTGCTGATGCTCATGCTGGCTGCTCAGACGACACTGCAGCAGCGGCAGCAGCAGGAGAAGGAGTGGGGGCAAGTCCGACAGGAGCAGGAGCAGAGGGAGCAGTGGCAGCACCCATGCCGTCTGCGGCGTCGTGGCCGAGCTCTCTCTCCTGGTCCGGGTGGGGGCAGCGGGGCTCGCTCTTTGGCGGGGGGAGCTCTTCTGCTGGTGCAGCTGCTGCTGCGGGAGGGAAGGGAGAGGGGGAGGTGGGAGGAGGGGCAGGGGAGGTGGATTTGGGAGGAGTGCAGGATGGTGGAGAGCGGTTGAAGAGGGATATGGCTGCCATGCTGGATCTACAAGCACAGGTTAGTGTGGACGGCTTTTACTGTGGGCTGCGTTTATTGTGCTGCCCTCCCCTCCCTACCCTTTTAACGGTTTCTACCCTTCCTACCCTTTATCTGCCCCTGCACTTCCCTCTTCCTCCTCGCACCACTCCCCCCTCTCCCTGCAAGGTGTCATGACCCCTTTTCCGCCCATTCTTCTGTTTCTACCTCCTCGTTTCCTGACAGGTGTGTGGCTCAAGGGAGCAGCCGTTCTTCACTCGAGCGAGCCATGACGAGGGTGACTTGGAGGTACCCTGTGCAACCTCTCCTGCCCTTCCACCTTCTCTACCCTTTCATCCCTGTTCCCCTTGCCAGGTCGCATGGCTCAAGGAGCAGCTGGTCTTAACTCTAGAGAGCCACCACGAGTCGCAACAGCGGTAAGTGAGACCAATTGTATGTCAGAAATGTTTTGAACGGCATTACGAATTGACCGAGATTAAGCTGTGGCTGAAGGAGCAGCTTGCTCTTACACGCTGAGGCTTGAGCAAAAGGAAAAACAGCCATGGTGAGAACAGCTGGGTACACTCTTGTTAACGAAATGTATACTACTGTTTGTGTGGTATGAATGCCATTGTGGTTGTGCATGCAGGGTGGAGGCCCTTCAAACAGCCATGGTGGAAATGGCTCAGAGAGACACTCACATGCAACTGACTGTCAAGGTGGGTTGCTTATGCATGCATGCATGCATGCATGTATGTATGTATGTATGCATGCATGTATGTATGTATGTATGCATGCATGCATGTATGTATGTATGCATGCATGCATGCATGTATGTATGTATGTATGTATGTATGCATGCATGTATGTATGTATGTATGTATGTATGCATGCATGCATGTATGTATGTATGTATGCATGCATGTATGTATGTATGTATGTATGCATGCATGCATGTATGTATGTATGTATGCATGCATGCATGTATGTATGTATGTATGCATGCATGTATGCATGTATATATGTATGTATGCATGCATGCATGTATGTATGTATGTATGCATGCATGTATGTATGCATGCATGCATGCATGTATGTCACATGTTATTGTGGACCCAAGCCATGGTGGAAATGGCACAGAGAGACACCAACATGCAACCCACTGTCAAGGTGGGGAATGAGTGTACTGTCAGCATATATATGCGCAGTAGTATACATTTCTTTTACCATAAACATGCACATGCAACTCACATTCGAGATGGGTTGCTAATGCTGCATGTATGTCGAGGTGACTTTTGAGTCGAGGTGACTTTTGAGTCGAGGTTACTTTTGATTCGACTGCTGTGTCAAAAGTCACTGCATTCGAGATGGGTTGCTGATGCTGCATGTATGTCGGCGAACTGTAATCTACACACGTGTATCTGGTATGTACTCATGTGTGCTTCCACATGAGTGTGCTGTATGGAGAATGAAGCCTCTTCAATGCAAAAAGCTGTGGTGGCCTCTGTGTGCAACCTCCTCGAGCCCCATCAAGCCTCTTTGAAAAACGCTCCTTGCCTCTTTGCAGTGCTATGCGCACTCAGCCACCTCTGTGTGTCCCGTGTTCTCGGTCAGAGCAGACGAGCAACGAGGTGGGTGGCACTGCCTCAAACTCTCTTTACCCGATTCGACTGCCGCTTCTGTCACCCGTGCTTCTCTCCCAGGTGGAGCAATTGACCAATGAGGTGGCGGTGCTTCAACGGGAGTTGTCTCAGCAGCAGCAGCGGGCAGCGGTGGTTCTTGAGCAAGCCGTGATGGACAAGCAGGTGAGCGGCAGAAAATGAAAATGAGAATGTGCAGATGGTGCACAGCAGCAGCAGCAGCAGCAGCACCAGCACCAGCAGTAGCAGCAGCAGCAGCAGACAGCAGTGGGCACTGGGCAGCAGTGGTCGGTGGTGCTCGAGCATGCTGTGATGGACAAACAAACTGGTGTGATGAACCGTGTTTTGCGTCAGAAACGAGAGCACCCATGACAAGTGCTGCTTTCACTCTCCCACAAGCAAGCATGTTCGCTTGTGGGCTCTGAGTGACTCTGCTTGACTTTGACCAACCTGTGTCAATCATATTCAATGGAAGACAGCCAGTGCCCTCAGTAGCACGTTCAGCTCCCTCTGGTTGACTCTGGTTGACCATGATTGACTTGTACCCTGACAAGTTGAGATGCAACTTGAGCTGAATGCACTGCAGAGGGCGCTGGCATCGAAGGTGGAGGAGACGAGGGGGGAGAGGTGGAGGGAATCTGGTCGAGTTACACTGACTTGCGTTGACTCTCTTTGATTCACATTGGCTCTCGTTGTTTGTTACCACCCCGACAGATTGAGATGAAGGAGTTGAGCGCGGTGCTGAGGGTGCTGCCATCGAAGGAGGAGAAGATGAGACTGTAGACTGTGTTTGACTTCAGTTGACTCGGGAGTCAGATTGAATTTTAGTGACTACGATGCACTCTTCCTCCCCGCCCCCGACAGATTGAGATGCAGAAGGAGCTGAACGCGCTGCTGAGGGCGCTGGCGTCGAAGGAGGAGAAGATGAGGCGGGAGGTGGAGGGGCTGCAGGATAGGGTGGAGGAGAGGGATATGGAAATTGAAAGACTAAAGCGGGTGGGTGTCGCTGTGGCTGTCTGGGGGTGTGGGTGCTGGTATGTGTGTGGGTGTGTGTGAGTGGGTGTGTTTGGGGGTGTGGGTGTGTGAGTGTGTGGGGGGGGGGGTGGTTTGGGGGGTGGGGTTGTGGTTGTGGCTGTGGTTGTGGTTGTGGTTGTAATTGTGGGTGGGTGCAGGTGTGCACACGCGTGTGCAAGCCATGCCTACTTGTGTTTATTGGTCAAGTGTATGACTCGGATGTTGACGGGGTTGCCATGCATTACCCGTAGCCTCTTTGCACCATGTGCAGCACATGGACCGTGCTGACCACATGCAGGTGCCTGGTTGGTAGGATGGAGGGCGAGAGGAAGGACCACGAAGCGAGGGCAGGGGCCGATTTCAGCGGCGTTGCACTTTGATGCGTTGTGAACCGGGTATCTCTTGAGATGCATCGTGCTCTTGGGTACTGTCCTACCTGTCTCTTGTATGATCCTTACTGCAGGTGATTGGTCGCATGGAGAGCGAGAGGAAGGACCAGGAGGAGATGATAGCAGTGGGCAAGCAGCAGGTGGACACACACAAGCGCGTCATCGAGATGCTCGTGGTGAGTGCCTTGCAATGCATGTCTAAGTAGTTTCGTTTTGTGTCGACTCAAAGCGAAACTACTTACACACGTGATCGGTTTGCAATGGATCTGGTGAGTGTTGGTCCCCATGAGCCACACAGCACCGGCCCGCAGCAGGGGGACATGCACAAGCGGGTGAGTGAGATGCTGGTGGTGACCACTAGGTGGTTGGTATGTGTCATGTGTCGTGCCATGGCTAGGTGCTATGTGTCATGTACCATGTGCTAGGTGCTATGTGTCATGTGCTAGGTGCTATGTGCCATGTGCTAGGTGTTATGTGTCATGTACCATGTGCTAGGTGCTATGTGTCATGTACCATGTGCTAGGTGCTATGTGTCATGTACCATGTGCTAGGTGCTATGTGTCATGTACGATGTGCTAGGTGCTATGCGTCATGTACCATGTGCTAGGTGCTATGTGTCATGTACCATGTGCTAGGTGCTATGTGTCATGTACCATGTGCTAGGTGCTATGTGTCATGTACCATGTGCTAGGTGCTATGTGTCATGTACCATGTGCTAGGTGCTATGTGTCATGTACCATGTGCTAGGTGCTATGTGTCATGTACCATGTGCTAGGTGCTATGTGTCATGTACGATGTGCTAGGTGCTATGTGTCATGTACCATGTGCTAGGTGCTATGTGTCATGTACGATGTGCTAGGTGCTATGTGTCATGTACGATGTGCTAGGTGCTATGTGTCATGTACGATGTGCTAGGTGCTATGTGTCATGTACCATGTGCTAGGTGCTATATGTCATGTACGATGTGCTAGGTGCTATGTGTCATGTACCATGTGCTAGGTGCTATGTGTCATGTACCATGTGCGGGCTACGATGAACCGCCATGCATCATCATGTGCCATGAATCGTGGGCAAGCAGCAGGTGGACACATAAAGAGAGTGATTGAGATGCTGGTGGAATGTGTAATTCGCCATCTGCTATGTGCCATGTGCCATGCGTCTTGTGCAATGCGTCATGCGTCATGTGTCAAGCGTCATGCTTCATGTGCCATGTGCCATGCGTCATCATGTGCCATGTGCCTGTGCAATATCATGAATAGGGTGATTATGAGGAGCCTTAACACCTGCCGCAGTGCAAAGTGCCACAACCGTTGTTCATCCTTGATTCGCATGCACTCTTTCCCCCTTGTTGTTCCGGTGAGTCGCCTCCCCCCCCCTTCAGGAGAAGCACAAGGCCACGCTTGAGAGGTCTCAAAACGCTTGTGTGCACTTTCCTCCTTTTTTCTCTGCTTCATCTTCCCCCCCCATCAGGAGAAGAGCAAGGCCATGCAGCAGCAGATGGTGGACATGGAGAAGAGGGCGCTCACAGCAGAAGGGTGAGACGTGATAGGTCATGCGGATTAGGGTTAGCAAGGTGTGGTACATAGATTGGGAGAAGTAAGGGTGACACGAAGAGCAAGGCCATGCAGCAGCAGATGGTGGACATGGAGAAGAGGGCGCTCATGGCAGATGGGTGAGATGAGAGAGCGAGTGTGTACAGCAGTGAGGTTTCTGCTGCGGTACAGGGGATTGATAGAACCAGGGTGAGATGAGAGCAAGGCCATGCAGAAGCAGATGGTTGAGATGGAGAAGAGAGCGCTCACTGCAGAAGGGTGAGATGCGAGTTCCAGAGGGTGGGGTTTGGATGAACGAGGGTGAGATGCGAGCAAGGCCGTGCAGCAGCAGATGGTGGACGACCCATAGATGGGGAAGAGAGCGCTCACGGCAGAAGGGTGAGGCCAAGGAATCTGCGAGGTACGTTGCTTTCTTTGTGTTGTGGAAGCAACGTGGCACGTAAGTGAGATCCCAAGGATCGTCACTCATTGGAGGACGAGCTGCAGCGTGGAGTTTCTGTTAAAGAGCTGCTCTTCGTCCAATGAGTGACGATCCTTGGGATCTCACTTATGTCCTTTCTTTGTGTTGTGGAAGCAACGTGTTATCGGGCTGGAAAGAAGAACGGCCATGTAGCAGCAGCAGGTGGTGGTTAGGAGAAGCGGGCACTGACATGTAACAGCAGCGGGTGGAGTCTATTCACTGTATTCCCTCGCAGGATGGCTCGTGCCTTTTTTGGAGATTTCAGGAGCACAGAAGGGCTACATGACGTTTGGTTTTGCAGTGGGACTTGAATTCAGCTACCTGCCCTCCAGTCCAGTGCTCACGAATATTTCTGGAACCCTTTCTTTGTTTCTTCGTTTCTTAGTTTCTTTTCTTCTTTTCTTGCTTCCCGCTCATGACACTCCCTTCTTACAGGATGGCTCGTGCTTTCCTGAGAATTTTCCAGGAGCAGAGAAGGGTACACCACATTTGGCTCCGCAGTGGGGCTTGAGTCCAGCTACCTGCCCTCCGGTGCTGACAGTGGTGCTAACACCTGTACCATTCCTCCCTTGCGTTGTGGTGCTCCCATTCTCTATTCCCCTCCCTTCAGGATGGCTCGTGCCTTTCTGGAGATCTCAGGAGCAGAGAAGGGGTACACCACGTTTGGGTCGGCAGTGGGGCTTGAGTCCAGCTACCTGCCCTCTGGTGCTGACCTTGAGGCACTGACCCACTCCCCCCTCCCATCACCATCCTCGTTAGCAGCGTCTTCATTATCATCAGTAGCATCTTCGACAAGTACAGTCCATTCATCAGCAGGTGTGGAAGAGAGGGGCAGTAGACCTGCTGTGCCAAACACTACTGTTACACTTAGTGTACAGAAAAGTTAGTGGAATAGGCATTGCTTATTGCTAAAATGGCCATGGTGCAACTGCCGGATCGCTTATCATAAATGCTAACATATTTATCTGTACTGCTTTTAGCTACCTATTATTGGCCAAGTAGTCAAGCCCCATCATCCAGAGAGAAGGTTGAGCCAGATACTGAATTCTGCTGAGTGATGTACTTCAAGATGGCATATGCTAGGCTCGCAGCCGCTTATGTTTGTGGCGAGAGAAGGTGATGGGTAGCGTACTAGCGTGGCACTAGTACATGTGTGAGCTCCCCTCCCAGTACCTGTATGTATGCATGCAAACCTGTTAGTCAAGCTAGAATTAGGTAAGCCCCCGGATAAATATAGCCCTGCAAAATGGAACACAATTTTGTACAATGCCGGAAACGAGAAAAAATGGCACTCCCCTCCCCGCGAACTGCCTGTGCAATTCCAGCACCTTCCAGGTGAAATCCACTAGTGAAACAGGCGCCCTTCCATGGTCCTGCTTCTTCATGCAACCAGGTACCTGTCAAGAGAGGCCACCTTTGCCCTCTCAAGACCTTTAGCACAAGCCAGTGCCTCTCCACCCTCTCCCCTGCCGCCTGCTGCAGTTTCACATCAAGCTGGTTGCGCAGCAGTTCAGCGGGTCAGCGCCACAACGCCACTTCCACCCTCGCCCCTGCGGCCTGCAGCAGCTTCACACATCTACCTGGTTGTGCGCGCCAATGGTATCCAACACCTCCCCTTGCACCTGACACACAAACGGCCTCGTAACCTTGTTGCCTCCCACCCACCCATCAGTCACACCACAACTAGAACCCCTATCTCCCCAACACCTTGGCTCGAGCCAGTGCCTCTTCCACCCTCTCCCCTGCTGCCTGCAGCAATTTCAAATCCACCTGGTTGTGCGCCACAATGGCGTCCAACACCTCCCCATGCACCAACGAGGCAAACAACCTTGCTGCCTCCCTCCCCACCCACCCCTCACCACCAAAACTTCAGCTCTCCAGCACCTTTGCACGAGCCAACGCCTGTTCCACCCTCTCCCCTGCCGCCTGCAGCAATTTCACATCCACCTGGTTGTGCATGAGAATGGTATCCAACACCTCCCCATGCACCATAGACGCAAACGGCCTTGTTGCCTCCCACCCCGCCCTCACTGCATTCTCCAACGCCTCTGCCTCCTCCCTTCCAATCCTGAACCCCAGGGCGATCTGCAACATGGTAACCACATCCCCTGCCATGTCATAACGCGCTACAGCAACCTCCTGCTTCTGGCCAGCCACTGCCTTAGCCACTGCTAGCGGAGCAGCTGTAAGGGGGATGTTCAGATGCCTGGAAACGGCTCGAGAGAGCCTGTTATCAGTGGTTATATCCTCTTGATTCACAGGAGTTGACTGCAGATGGTGCGTGAGGGCGTGCAGGAACTCCAAGTTAGAAAGACCCTCTGGCACAGGCATGCTTGGAAAGAGGTTTTTGAACCACGCAGGGGCGTTCTGGGGGGAGGAGGAGTAGGAAAGATAGTCGGTTGCGAGAGCGAGGGAGATGTGGTGGGGAAGGAGGAGGAAGGTCAGGTTGGAGGGGGAGGCGGGGAGGAGGAGGGAAGGGAATGAAGGGAGCGTGTGGGAGGCACAGGAGGAGAGCGACGAGAGGAGGGCGGCTAGGGCGGCAGGCACAGTGGCGAGGCGAGGAATGGCAAAGGCTTGGAAGTTGGTGGTTCGGGCGAAGTGGGCGCAGAGGAGAGAGGTGACCTGCTGCCACCGGGGCAGCTGCAATAAAAATGAGGGGAAAGAACATGGCAGGGAAGAAGAAAGAGTGGTGGAAGGAAAGAGATGGCTTAGAAATTAGAAGAGTGGCACCGAGTGTTCAACGAAGGCTTGCAGGCCCTGAAGCCTCACGGAGGCTCAATAATGGGCGTCACCGCCCCTCTACCACTCTGTGGAGAGAGAGGGATTAGAGGTTGGTGTCGAGGCAAGAAGGCTTGGAAGTTGGTGGTCTGGGCAAAGTGGGCGCAGAGGAGAGAGGTGACCTGCTGCCACTGGGGCAGCTGCAGTTAAAAGCAAGGGAAGGTGCATGGTGGGCAATGAGAAAGAGGGGGATGCAACGAGAGGACGAGTGCTCAAGGCAACACAAAATAGTGGTCCGGGCGAAGTGGGCGCAGAGGAGAGAGGAGACCTGGCGCCACTGGGGCAGCTGCCAGGAAAGTGCAGAACAAGAAGCAGGGAAAGCACATGCAAGGGAAAGGCAACAGTGAGTGCAAAGAGCGGAAGAAAATGCTAGAAGGGCGGCCTCCACGCGCAGATAACAAGACGAAACGCAGTGTCATGCCCCACTGCCTCTACAATGCCTCCCCTCACCTGGCTGCCAATTCAATTCACACTCACATTTTTCGGCAGGGAAGGGGGTGGGGCAACACTCCCTCAACTGCAGCAGGTGCGGTTGCGGGAAGAGAAGCAGGGTAGCAAGAGAGTATCTGACCCGCTTTCACTATCACTACCCATCGCACATTCACAGGCTGGGGGGAGTGTGGCCCTACGGCCACACCTGCAGCAGCTCAGGGGATTGGGGCCCTATGGGCTCTCACCTGGAGAGTGTCTGGCTGCAGGAAGAGCGGCAGAGTAGCAGAGGAGCATCTGACAACCCCCCTGACAGCAGGGAAGCGGAAGCGCGGCGACACCACCCCTGTGATGCTGGGGGCGGGGTGGGCTGCCTGCAGGGGCAGCGGCAGGCGCGCCTCCGCTAGGCGGGCGAAGTCATCTGGCTGGCCGGAGAGCAGAAAGGGGAAGAGATTCTGTCAGGGGTGGGAGGGCGGGGGAGAAGTGAGGGGGGGAGAGAGAGGTGTTTGTAAGGTGGCTAAGAAAGGGGAAGAGATTTGGTCCCGGTGGGAGTGTTAAAGGGGAGCGGGCGAGAGGTGGGGGGGTTGGTTCGGGGGAAAGGCAGGGGGGGAAAGAGAGGTGTTTGTAAGTCGGCAGGCTGGCCTCATAGCAGAAAAGGGAAGAGTTTTTGTCCAGGGTGGGAGGGCAAATGGGTGTTTAAAGGGGGGGGCGGGGGGGAAGGGAGGGGTGGGGAGGATGGCAGAAAGGCCTCATGTGGCACCAAAAGTGCGATCAGCTGATCGGGCAGGCCGAACGAAATAAAAAAGAACCAAGGATGGCAGAGAGGAATGGAGCATGCGACTGTGATGTAACATTGTAACGCGTGGTAAGGAGTCAACAACAGCCATCCATGGACAAGGCAGTTAGCAGGAGGCGGGGCACCAAAGTTGGCAATACCATAGCAAGCAAGGGACCTCTACTAGTTGCCACCCTATTACCTCTCCCTCTCTCAATAGCCCCATAGGTGGAGAGCGGCCCAACAAAGCACTTAGCCAGAGGCGGAGCACCAAAGTTGATGACATCGTGGTGAGCAAAGAGACCCCCGCCTGCTGCTGCCTTTCGGTCCATCCCTCTCACTCTTTCTATTTCGCCCTCTCACTCACCCCATAAGTGGAGAGCGGCCCAACAAGGCAGTTAGGGGGAGGCGGGGCACCAAAGTTGATGACATCGTAGTGAGCAAAGAGACCCCCGCCTGCTGCAGCCACGGACAGCCAGCGAGTGACGAGGGGCTGAGAGCAGAGCAGGAGCAGGGAAAGCGGACCACGGATGGGGAAAGCGCGGACAGGGGAAGGCAAGGACGCTTCAGCAGGGTGGAAGTAGAAATGGGCTGCTTTGCTTGCTTACAAGCAAGCTCTTCGTTTGATGTTCCCCCGGGCTCTTTTTTTTTTCAAGCAGGCCCCTTCTTTTAATCCTTTCAGTGGGTTTGTGTCATACAGCCAGCGTCGTAATGTTTCGGTTCAATGCTTGCGCGTGTCGAAGACAAGGATGTTGAACATTAAGTAGGGCGACGTGTCCTTTGATGCTCTCCTGCTCTCGCACCAGAACCGGCACCCACCCCGCCTTGAGCCGCCCAACCTTTAACCACCCCATTCCCTTCCTCCCGCTTCCCCCCCTCCCCTCCCCCTCCTTCTCACCTTCACTGCCTGTCCCCCCGCCCCCCCTCGACTGCGCGCCTCAGCATCTCGTGGTACTCTGGATGCGCCTTGATGCTCTCCTCCCCTAACAGCACCACCAGCACCCACCCATTAAGCTTCCCAACAACCCCCCCCCCCGCGCCCTTCCCCTTCCTCCCCATCCGACGCTTTCCTCCCGCCCTACTCCCACCCGTCCAACTTAGCCCCCCCTCGCCTCGCCCTCCTCACCTTCATTGCCTGCCCCCCCTCGCCTCGCCCTCCTCACCTTCATTGCCTGCCCCCCCTCGCCTCGCCCTCCTCACCTTCATTGCCTGCCCCCCCTCGCCTCGCCCTCCTCACCTTCATTGCCTGCCCCCCCGCCCCCTCCACTGCTCGTCTCAGCATCTCGTTGTACTCCGGATGCGCCTTCACTCGCTCCTCCCCTCGCAGCACCACCGGCACCCACCCCGCCTTGAGCCAGCTCAGCTGCCACACCTGTAGTAGGCTGGAGGGGGGGGCGGTTGGGGAGCCCGGGGGGGGGGGAGGGGGAGGAAGAGAGGAAAGCGATTAGGAGCAGAGGGGTTGGGAACAATTTAAAGCACCTGTTCTGCCTTGAGCCAGCTCAGGTGCTACACTGGCAGTAGACTGGGGGAAGAAGGGGCGACGAGGGAGGGAGGGCAGAGCGAGCAGGTGCAGAGGGATTGAGGACAGCGGAATTAATAGAAGAATGCGCCCACCCTGCCTTGAGCCAGCTCAGCTGCCACACCTGTAGTAGACTGGAGAAAGAGCGAGAGATGGGGAGAGGGGGAGAACGACTAAGAGCGAAGGGAGCAAGTCGAATCTACCCGTACTTGCCCTTCCCAACCCACCCCTGTGCCTCTCAGGCTCTTCTCTCCCACCGACTCCCCTGTCAGACCCCAATCTGATCAATATCGCCACTCAAATGACCTCCTCTTCCACATCCCCTGCAGCTTGGCTCGGGTCAAAGAAGGTCAACACCTATAGCGTAACTGGCCATGTATATATATATATATATATAAAATATATATATACAGAGAGATATACATATATAGCCGCACAGCCACCTACGTACACATACACTCACTCACTTGGCCTCCTCTTCCACGTCGCCTGTAATTTGACTCGGGTCAAAGAAGGTCAACACCTTGCACTCCGGACCCCCAGGCCTCCCACCCGTTCTGCTACCGCCCTCGCCACTCCCATCCTCTCCCCCTTGAAACCTCCAAACCTTCTCTCCTCCCCCTCCTCCTCCTCCTCCTCCTTCTCCTCGTCCGCTTGTCACACCAGCAACTCCCATCCCTCCTCTCTGCTCCTCTCCCCCTGCTGCTCCCCACGTACTCGACCCCCCAAAGTCGTATTGCCTGTCCAAGCCTATCCCCGAGCCTGCACGTTCGGACAGGGAGTTCGGCAGGGGGGTTTGGAGGGTTAAGCAGGTTCGGCGAGGCAGTGCGGAACAGAGGCTCGTCTAGTAAGGTGGGGAGATCTATGGAGTCGACGCTGCTCTAGAATAGCACCCGCCCTACGGGCGAGGGGAGCCCTGCTTCGGATCAGTCTTCATTGTCCCTTCCCCCACACAGCACTGCTTGAGGCGCCTAAAAAATAGACTCCTCACGCACGGATTTCATGTAGAGAGAATGTGTGCTGCTTCCCTAGGGAAATCTGGGATGAAATAAAACACAAGGGCTGACAACAATCCCTTCCACCTGCTGCGTTTTGCCCAACAAACCAGCCTGCTACTACTTGGGCCGCTTCGATCGAATATCCGCCCCCCCTCTCAAGGCCAGCCGTTGTGAGTCGCGCCACGTGTCTGTAATCAGCCTCCAGACATCCGAGCCTCCTTTCTCACATGTCTCCACAACAATCCCCTCTCATCTCATCTCATCGCTCTCTGAGAGCGGTGGCCCCACCTCGCCCATTGCACCTCCCCACATAACTAGGCCAACAAGTAGGCATTGGGCCAACAACCCCATGCCCATGCGTCCACTGCTTTCTTCTCTGCGGCCAATCGCTGCGACGACGTTTCCTCCCCCCCGAGCTGACTTCTGAGTCAACTCAAAAGTCCTCCCCCCCACCAAAACCCCCACTAACTCCTGTTGCTGACATTGAAGCCTCATGCACCCGAGCAGCTGGAAGCCACCCCTGCGCAAACTTGAACCTGAAATTAAACCTGAACCTGAGCTAAAATCTGAGTCTGGGCCCCAGCAACAGCCTGCCGAGTGAATGAACCACGGTTGCACCCACTCAAAGAGCCCGTGCCGAGCTGCCTGTGGCCCGAGGCAAATTGGCTGTAGGTATGTTCGAGCTATGGCGCCTCAGCAGCAGCAGCGCCAGCAGCCAGCGGGCGTTTGTGCCCCCAGAACGACCCCAAAAGCCTCTACCCTTCCCTCCTCCAGTCGCTTTCCCTGCATCCTGCATCCCCCCCTTCCTTCCCCGTGTCTTTGGATCCCCATTACCAGCCCTTCAGTTGCGCTGCAGCAGCAGCAGCCAGGCGTCTGTGGACCCAGAACGAGCCTCAGAAGCCAGCGCCCTGCCTTTCCCCACCCGTCTGTACAGCGGCCGGGCCTGTCTTCCTCTTCACGTAGGGCGCAGCACCCAGGCGTCTGTGCCCCCAGAACGAGCCCCAAAAGCCACCACCCGTCGCCCTCCCACCCGCTTTCCCTGTTCCGCCCCCGCTTCCCCCTGCTGCCGCCCCCTCCGCGTCCCCCCCTCCCTTCACCTTCTCGCCAGAGCCAGCACCGAAGCTCTTGAAATCGGCGTCCTTTAAGAGGGAGGCCAGAGAGGGGATGGTCGTGGGAGGGGGCAGGGGCGCGCCTGCTGCGGCTGCTGCAGTGAGAGAGGCGGAGGAAGCAGCTAGAAGGGAGGAAGGTAATGGTTCTTCCCCTGCCTTGGCGGCCGCTGTGCCAGGCATTGCTGGTGCTGCTGCTGCTGTTGTTGCTGCTCCTGCTGTGGCGGCAGCGGCGGCTGCAGGTGCTGCTGCTGACGATGGTGGTAGTGATGGTGGTGTTGATGATACTGCTCCTGCTGTGCCTGCTCCTGCTGTGCCTGCTCCTGCTGTGCCTGCTCCTGCTGTGCCTGCTGCTGCTGTTGCTGCTGCTGCTGCCCCTGGTGCTGCTGGTGCTCCTGCGAAGGCCAAAGCCGAAGCAGGAGGAACCGCTCTACCTGTTCCTCCTGACCCTCCTGCCGAGCCTGGGCCCTGAGGTATGGCAGGAGCTTCGGGTCCAGTAAGCCGCCCGAACAGGTCATTCTCGCGCTGCTCCAGCTCAGCTTCCGCTGCATCCAGGTCACCTGCGCTCCTTGTTCTATCCTCGTTAATAGTCTTCTCGAGATCCGCTATAGACTGCTCCAATTCCTCAAGCGTGGCCTCTACCTCTACATCATCTGTTCTTTCACCACCCTTACTGAACGCTGCTCCATACCCCATGTCCTGATCTTCCCGCTCTGCGTGGTCTGCTTCTCCCAACCCCGCCACTCCCCCGTCGCCATAATCACCACCGTTAGTAGCGCGTTCGGAAGCACCAGCAAGAGGAGGAGCAGGCGCAACCGCAGGCGAAAAAGCGGGCGGGTGAGCTAACGTGGCTGGCGCCGCGATCGGCGCCATAGAAGCGGGTTCCGGGTGTGCTGACGTGTCAAGATCTAATGACGGTGGTTGTGCTCCTGTTTCTGCTACACCAAGCGCTGCCGCTGTAGCAGCAACTGTAGCGGGAGAGCGTGAGCCTAGATCCGAGCTTAATGTGATTGTGTCGGACGAAGGGGATGTGACTGTATCGGGGGGAGGGGCGGTGGCGGAAGGAGGAACAGCATCAGACGGCGAGGATTGAGCAGAAGAAAAGGGTTCGGCGGGATTCGAACCTGAAACCATTGATTCTGTCGACGCGGAGCCGTCCCCGCTATAAGACGAAAGCCACCAAACGACGATAAGAAGAAGAGACCCTGCGACGGCTACGAATCGCCAGTTCAATCGCCGAAATCCCGGGGCGACGCCGGACGGCTCCACGTCAGCGTGCCGATCGAACGGCTGAAATCGACGGCCGCGAAGCTCCCCCGTGGCGTGCGACTTGAGGGGAACGCGATCCTCGCCGTCCGCCATGAATGTTTTCCTTTTCACACGGTAACCTAAAAAAGCAGGCGCCGCTTGAGAAAATGAGTCCTGGGAGAATCGCCTTACAGTAAGAGCTGATCACGTTACAGGACGGCGGGAGTGGCTGTCAGACAGTGTTCCAGTGTTCCAGTGTTCCTGGGTTTCGGTTCTTATGACCACAGACTAAAATAGCACAGCAGGCCTTCAAGTGAACCCATCTTGAAAAGGGGGCACTCTAGAAAAAAATGGTGCGAAACAGCAAGGGTAGTTTTGGGGCAGCTGGGCAGATACGAACCCCCGATTCTGCGGGAAAATTGCTGCCGCGGACTGTCCACGAAACTTTTCATACTTTCGTGGACAGGCCCTACTTTCATGGACACCACATCAAACTTTTCACATCTCCCGTGGACTCCGTCAATACTTTCGTGGACTCCAGGCTTACTTCCATGGACACACGCGAGTTTGAAACAAAAAAAAATACAGAACTGTACAGATGCTGACAGGAGAAAAAAAAGCAAAATTAGGCGTAATCAAGTCCCTCGCAAATAGTCGCAAGCTACAGTATTTTCAAGCCACCAAGTCCGCTAGCTGTTTCGCGTGTTTAAAGAAACTCTGAAGCGATCCTCAAAATTCATTTGAATGACTGTCACGAAGCGCTTTTAGTTGAACGATAAGTGTAGCAGACCGACCTGGTGAAATATCGCTACAAAAAAATCACGTTGTAGAATAAAGATAGATATTACGCTTACAAGATTAATAGAGCGCATTAAAAATCTCTGCCTACCAAGAATCAGGAATACCATGAATTCTGGCATTTACAAATATTTCAACTAGTACTTGGCTTGCATTTTCAACTAAGATGTGAAATCTCAGAATACCAATAACGTTTGGTGAACATGACTATATAAATGGAAGGTTTCACGTCTTGATTGTATTATTATTAAACTTTCGGTATATAGTAAAATAATAATAGATGAGAAAATGATACAACTATTTTAGATTCACGTTTTTGGGAATATGTTTTTTATTTTTGAACGAGAAACATACTAATGCAAATTAAAACAAGTGATTCTAAAAAATATATTTCTTAGGTGTTTTTTTTCACAGAATTACTAATAATGAAATTATTTATTATGAAGGAGAAAACAACTGCTGGTTGATGCTGGCTCGTCAAGCACGTGCATATTATGTTTTGTTGGGTAGCTCTGAGTTGAATAATAAGTGTTTTTACCACGCGGACCTTAATACACCCTGTTTTCGAAAATTCACTGCATATTTGAGTCCGGCTGCAAACTCTTCCCAGAAAAGCTCCGAGATTCTGTTTCAGAACTGGTTTCCGACACTGTAGCTCGCGATTACTTGCGACGGACAGATATTCTGGAGTATCTCGATTTTTGTGCCCGTAATCACTTGTACATTGCTGAATACTCCTTTTTAACTGCGAATATGGGTGTGTCCATGGAAGTAAGCCGGGAGTCCACGAAAGTATTGACGGAGTCCACAGGAGAAGCAAAACTTTGATGTGGTGTCCATGAAAGTAGGGCTTGTCCACGAAAGTATGAAAAGTTTCGTGGACAGTCCGCGGCAGAAAATTTCCCCGATTCTGCGCATCTATGGGAGGTCGGCTTGGGCGATATCGAAATGAAACGTGTGGGACGACGGACGAACGGCTGCTCCCAAATTTCCGCCCAAATGGAGAGACTAAAACAGGGGTGACGAAACTTGCTTGCAACTGCGTGCGAGTAACGATGTGTAAACACGCACACCAACTCCGAGCCTGTGTCAACTGGCACAAACTGTAACACACCTTCTACACAACGTAACTCTATATAGAGAAACCACATTTGATACCAACATTACAATGGACATGTTTGTAAGCACCTATGAGTATGCTACTTGACATTACAATATACTAGGGTACTTCCCATCAGGTAAATCCGTCACATATTTCTTTACTACATGGGCACAAGGGACTATTCCAAAAAAGAAAAGTAGGAGCTTGAGGTAAGGTGGGTGGTGGGTGAACGGAAGAGTTTGTGGTGCTGTGAAACAACACCTGAGCAAGGGATTGGGTGATAGGATAGAGGGGAAACTGATCGGGAGAAGGGGAGAAGGGATGAAGGTACGGTAGAATAAAAGATTACTAATCCGGCCTGTAGAAGTATCGCCGCGACCAGAGGTCGGCATTTTGTGAGGTAAGAGTAGGATCGAAATAACGACATCGGAATGACGCACATGTAGCTATTAGAATCGGCCCAAAATATCAAGGAATGAAGAAGAACCAGTTGATTATATAGAGGTGGGTATGAGATACTTCCAAGGGAATAAGTTCTCTTTTTTCCTCTCCGGAATTTAAACAAGCAAGCAAATGTAACATCGCAATGCGCCCGACTCGACCTTGGAGTTGCGCCCAATTTCTGTTTAGTCCGCGGTTCAGACCTGGTCCAAGTCAATTGCGTCATGCGTTAACTTGTTCCGAACTATGAAAGATAGTGTATAGCGAGATTTTCTAACTTTCGTTACACTCCAATATTTTTTCGCAAGTGCTTGGGAGATTGCCGAGGGCCCTCTCTAAACATTTTGGACCCAACCAAGGGGAATTGGGTTGAGTGGCGACACGGCCGATTCCGTCGTCACCACCCTTTCCAAGCAACTCACCTCCCTTGGTCCAAGTCAAGGGAGGTCCTTGATGTGGGGGAGACTCCTCCCCTACAATTCCAACATCGAGGGCACGTGAGTGAAGGTAGAGGATGGGCGGAAGGCCAGGCATGGTGGGAAAGGGGGGAGGAGGGCAAGGGATTGGGGCCAACATTTTGAGAGGGGCGCAAGGAAGCGAGAGAAGTTATTTGATATGGAAAGAGGAGAGGAGACAGGTGAGAGCAGAGGGACATGAGCAGGTGAGCGGAGTGTGGACACTACAGGTGGAGGGAAGGTGGGAGGAAGCAGCGGCAGTCATGGGGAGAAGGTACGAGGAAGCCTCGGCCATGGAGGGGCACACGGCGGCGGTAGCATTGGTGCAGGCGAGAATAGTGACACATGTGGTGACGCAGAATGATGGGTGTGGTGACATAGAATGGTGGTTGGGGTGACACAGAGGGGTGGGTTATTCTGTTAGCAAAGCCTCGCACACCACAAATGGACTGTTGTGTTTTTACCAGCCATTTCACCGATGAAGGGGCACATGGTGGTGCAGCGATGGTGCAAGCTGGGATAGTGGCACACGTGGTTACACAAAACGGTGGTCTGAGAGCACCTCTAAACTTCCTTGCACCACCTCTGACATTCCTTTTGACTGCATGCCACCTCTGCATGCGGCATGTGCATGCGACCTCTGCAAGCGACTGTGCACCGTGGGGAGAGGTGCCGTGAGAGTGGGGCAGCAAACCTTCCCCTTCTCCTCAATCTCCGTTCCTCTTTCCCCCGCCCCTCCCACAGGCAACTGCACGGGCACCTAGTGAGTTTACTCTCAATATTATTGCTAAAAGTTTCGTTTACGCTGCTGCTCATCCCTATCATGGCTAATGACCCCCCTTCGCCTCAATCTCCGTTAATCCTTCTCCCGCCCCTCCCTCGCCTCTCTTCGCTAGTGGATCGCTCACATTCGAGATGTGGTGAAAGGAATGTCCCCCTGATCGGCACCCCTTGCAGAGGGGCGCACCCCTATCGGAGCTGCATGTTGCGGTTTACCAGTAGAGGTGCTGCGAGTTTGGGGTAGGGTACGTGCACAGCTTCTTGCCTAACCACCTGCCCTAACCCTTTCGCTTCCCCTTGTTTCATCAGTGGACGACCTGCATCTGAGAAGCGGTGTTCCTTCCGACCGAATGTCTGAGCTGCATGGGTCGGTGTACCGCGAGTGCGGGGCTCGGTACCTGCGCCCCTTTGATGTCACCTCTGATAGAGGGTCGTCCTACCACTGCCATAAAATCGGGCAGGCTTGCACTTCTGTGGCTGGTGGCGGTACTGCTGCTAATGCAGTTACTCTTGTGAATGCTGATGATAGTTCGTAGTCAGCCTCTCTATTTGTGAAACTAGCAGCTGGGAAAGATTGCAAGCAAGAAGAGGAGGGAAGAGAGGTGGAAGAGGAGGAGAAGAAGCAGCAGAGAGTGCCAGTGGTTCTGAAACCAAGGGGTCCTACAGTGGTGGAAGGTCGAATGTCTACAGGAGGAGGAGGAGGTTGTGTGAAAGAGGAAGACAGGAAGGTGGAGGGTGAAGGATGGAACGAGTGTGAACGTGGAGGAGGGGTGCTTAGAAGAGGGGAAGATGGAGAGGATAAAGAGGACACACAAGATAAAGATGATAGAGGGGATAACGAGGGTGATGTGAAGATGTGCTATAAGGGAGAGGGCGGTGAGAGTGGGGGAGAGGAGGAGAAGCATGCGGTGATGAGAGTGTGTGAGGGCAGGGGAGCGTAGGAAGAGGAGCGGGGGGAGGAGGAGAAGCATGAGGACAGAACAGTGTCTGTGGTCGTGGTGATAGATTCAATTGTGCATTTTGAGGACAGGATAGATGATGAGCAGCTGAGCAAGGCAAGAAAGGCAAGCACAGGTGCTCACGTGGCGCTATGCCTTGGGTCCTCCTTGAAGGTAGCTTGGTGTCTCTTGATTGAAGGCAGCGCATGTGTACAATTTTTCAAGGTAACGTGCATTTCAGGGGAGAGAATAGACGACGGGCAGCTGAGCAGGGTGAGAGAGGCATGCATGGGCACACACATGGCTCTTTGCCTCAGCTCGTCCTTCAAGATAGCATGGTATCTCTTGATAGGAGGCAGCTTATGTGTGTGAATACAGATGTGCGTTTCAGGGAGAGCACCGACGATGAGGAGATGAGCAAGGCGAGAGAGGCAAGCATGGGCGCACACGTGGCACTTTGCCTCGGGTCCCCCTTCAAGGTCTTCCATGCGTCCTTGTTAGAGATGCCCCCTGTGTGCAAATTCACTCCTGCATCTTGAAAGTGAGCAGCTGAGCAAGGCGAGAGAGGCAATCACATGCACACACATGGGGCTCTTTTTCAAGGTACCTCCTGGCGATGGTAATATTTCTAGTCATCTGTGTGCTTCTAGTCGAGCTATCTCACAACCTGCTGCCCGGGTTGAGGACCACTTCAAACCCATGCCGCTTGTCCTCCCACCCCACACCATCTAGGATCCTCAAGCCAGCAAGCTCCCTCGCCAGGCCACCCACCTGGTCACAATCCTCCAGCGCATCCCCTCTTGGCATGCCTGCCGATGCTCGTCCTCCCCCTTTCAGGTCCCTCCGGCCAGCAAGCTCCCTCGCCTAGCCACCCACCTGGTCAATATCCTCCAGCGCATCCCCTCTTGGCATGCCTGCCGATGCTCGTCCTCCCCCTTTCAGGTCCCTCCGGCCAGCATGCTCCCTCGCCTGGCCACCCACCTGGTCAGTATCCTCCAGCGCATCCCCTCTTGGCATGCCTGTCGATGCTCGTCCTCCCCATTTCAGGTCCCTCCGGCCAGCAAGCTCCCTCGCCTAGCCACCCACCTGGTCAGTATCCTCCAGTGCATCCCGTCTTGGCATGCCTGCCGTCCCCCTTTCAGGTCCCTCCGGCCAGCAAGCTCCCTCGCCTGGCCACCCACCTAGTTAGTATCCTCCAGCGCGTCCCCTCTTAGCATGCCTGCCGATGCTCGTCCTCCCCCTTTCAGGTCCCTCAGGCCAGCAAGCTCCCTTGCCTGGCCACCCACCTGGTCACAATCCTCCAGCGCATCCCCTCTTGGCATGCCTGCCGATGCTCGTCCTCCCCCTTTCAGGTCCCTCAGACTAGCAAGCTCCCTCGCCTGGCCACCCACCTGGTCAGTATCCTCCAGCGCATCCCCTCTTGACATGCCTGCCGATGCTCGTCCTCCCCCTTTCAGGTCCCTCCGGCCAGGAAGCTCCCTCGCCTGGCCACGAACTTGATCATCATAAACCTCCAGCCTCCAGTAGATGCCTTTTGAGGTGTGTTCACACATCTTTTGCTCATTCTTTCTTCCCACCCACCGAGGACCCTCCGGCCAGCAAGCTCCCTCGCCTATTTTCATCAACCTCCAACACACCCCCCTTGACTGCGATGCTCGCATCACCATCCGAGCTCGTATCGGCTCCGTGCTCCCTCGCCTGCTGTGCCTGCTGCACCCCCTCCTGCCCGTCTTCCACCGACCCTCCAAACCCTTCCTAGCCCTCTCTCCCTTGCTCTGGCCCACTCCCGTACTTTCTCTGTCTGTCCTCGGCTCACTAACTCCACCATCACCACCCTTACGATTACCATCCCTACCACCACCGGTGCTGCCATCCCCAGCCGGAGCACGGTGCTTGAAGGTCCCTACAGGCAGCAACGAGGTGCGTATTTAAAGAAAGCAGAATGCTGCTACTATCTCCTGCTCCTCCGCGTTTTGGGAGCATATCTCTCGCTCCTCAATTCCCTATGCTCACTCGTCCTGCGTTTCTGGCCCTATATCCATAAGGGAGGTGGAGCGGGCTTTCTCTACGCTTGCCCGGGGAAAAAATCCTAGCAATGACGGTCTCTCAGGCGATCTTTTCAAGGAGCACTCAGCCTTAGTCTCACCAGCAGTCCATGTGTACTGGCAGGA